CACTCCCCCAGCCCAAGAAAGTATTAAAAAGAAAAAAAAAAAAATTCAGTTAGAAAGAACAAAAAATGCACCCTCTGATTACACAGTTTGTTTAAATTGAACCCTCATAAATTTTGTAGAAAAAAATTATTACCAGTTACCAAGTTGTCTTGTTTTAAACCTCCGATATCTTTGGAAAACACTTCTTTTTCGATACAACGTTGGCTTATAAAAAATGAACCTTTTCTGATTTGAATTGAGCTTATCTTACATTTGCAAATATTAGCTTAGTTTTTTTATTAACAATTAATACATAATACTGGTCTAAAAGCTAACCTCATCTCTATCATGTTTATCAACTGCGCATGCGCTCTGGGGGCTTGTGTGCAGTTGATATACATGATAGAGATGAGGTTAGCTTTTAGACCAGTATTATGTATTAATTGTTAATAAAAAAACTAAGCTAATATTTGCAAATGTAAGATAAGCTCAATTCAAATCAATTTTTTTTTTTCTTTTTAATACTTTCTTGGGCTGGGGTAGTGGGGGTCCCCGATGGCCGGTTTCTCGCTTGTCTCTGAACGTTGGCGTCACCTAGCGGTGAGAGTGGTACTACTACACATGTCCAGCTCGAGCAATTCATTCATATAATTGTGATCGAACTTCACTAGTTCGTTTAATCACCAATAATCGAAGACTTATTGGTATGCTGCCATTTTCTTTTTCCATTTTTACAGTTATTAAGGTACACTTATACATGTTTTCGTTTGTTTGAAACAATCGAAAGATCAAAACTGAAGCATTTCCTGAACTAAGTTTTATTTTAACCCAAGTATCGTTGGATTTAATTGCCGTACCACTACTGTTTCAAATAGGTAGGTGCGTGCATTTATGTTCCCAATAATTATTTTCTTTCATTTTTCTCGTGTAGTCTCAGATTATCACTTATCCACATCTATATTACAGGTATTTTTCCCGTATACCAGAAATATGGCCACTGTAACAAACGTCCGGACTGAGCACGGGTGTATTGTCAAGTTTCATTTGACTGGCCTTACCACCAATTCCTCGTCTCAAGAATTTAGTTTACATGAATTTGAAAATAAGTGCTCTATGAAAATGATCTTACAAATGATCTCACAGACCTACAGTACTTCATACTATCTCTATAATGTAACGTTTAGTCTTGATTTTACTACAAAACCATTTTTACTGCATAACAAATTATTGCAACTGACAGTTTGTTTTAATTTATCTAAATATAAACATTCATTTACTCTCAAAGCAGTAACTGATACTAATTTCCAATCAGAAGCAATAACTGTGTATGACCCTGTTTTTAGATCATATTCATCATTTGATGCTGATGTTGAAATCAATTTTGATCAAGAACTATGTGGTTACAAACTAGCTCAAGACATGAAGCAACTATTCTTAGAAAAAGCTCATTCCGACTTGGAATTAGTTGTCGATGACAAAGTTTTTAAAGTACACAAAAATATTCTTTCGGTACGAAGTAAAGTTCTGTGTAAGATGATAGAGACGGAGATGGTAGAAAAAAAAACCGGCACAATCAAACTAGAGCAATGGGATGGTGTAGTTGTTGAACAACTATTGAATTACATATACACTGATACATGCGACATGACTATCACTCCTTTTAAGTTGTTCCAGCTATCACACTACTTAGACATCACACCATTGGAAGAGATGTGCAAGTGGCATTTAAAATGCAATATAAATGTACAAAACATAGTACAAATTCTTGAACTGGCAAATGAAGATCAATATGAACTGTCAGATTTAAAAACTGCTGCAGAAAAATTTGTTAAATCAAATGAAGCTATTTTAGCCAAAGAATCAACTTATGTTAATTATTTGATAAAATCCATAAATTTGAAGAACATTGCACAAATCTTGACATTTTCTCAAGAGTATACAATTGACACCTTAATGGATAAGGCAATAGAGTATATACTGTCTCACCATCAAGAAGCTCTAAAAATTGAAGACTGCAACCAGTTTTTTGTATCTCATCCTTCATTAATGCTAAAATTATTGGGACATTCCTTGCAAGCCATGGAATCAATGCGTACCTCGAAAAATGAAAGTCATTAATATTAATCATTTACTGTAATGACTGTAATACTGTATAACTTTTGTGTATTCATACAAATAATAAAAAATGTTTTTCTCAATCATTTTACTTGTCTGATAATATTTAAAATCTCGTAACAGTGTATTCCTAAAACGATTGTGTCACTATTCATAAATAAAACCAAAAAGTAGTTTTATCATTAAAATTCCAATAATCCTACTAACTCTTTAATAGTTGGTGAACTGAATACCATTAAAGAACAAAGATGGACGGAAGAATCTTGAGATTCTTGAGTGCTTGCACGTTTGCCAAACACCACTTTCATATTTTAAATACTAATATGCATCTACGAAGGTTATTGATTAATTTCATAATTTACAAATGTTCTAGTTGTCTATTAAAATACTTGGATACTAACAATCTAAACAAAAAATTTTTATTTAATTATTAGGACATTGTTTGCATGTTGCATGATACACTATTAAAAATGTCTCATTTTCTTTGGTTTCAATACTTTCAATACGTGCATACTCTCATAAGAAAAACAATTTTACAATAGCCCACACACGTAATAAATACATGGTGTACTTAAGGCCAAGAGACTGTCTATTCCAGCGATGAAGGAACAAAGTGTGGTGTAATCTGTGAACTGGTACTGTCACCATAGCACCCCATATGAGATCGTCTTCATCCAAGTTTATTCTGACGTAAAAGAAGAGCTGGTGGACGAGGACGAATTTATTCAGAGTATGGAAAAAGGTTCTCGCCCTGCTGGGTGTCTTTATCAGCTAACCGGCATCAGTGGTATACGGGCTTTATTAGGGTGGGTTTAGATCTGGAGTCTGTCAGTCTGCAGACTAAGCCTTGATGGGAGATTTAATTCAAACTGTCGGAAAGTGATATCGATGTTATTTTACAAATTAAATTTGCAGATTGCCATCAGACTCCGTATCTAAACCCATCCTTACACGCACGTGCGATAAAAGTAAAGAATTATTGTTCGTTTATTGGCTAAGAATCTTATTTTATTTTACCATTTATCCGTCCATGCTGGATTTATTTTTACAGGAAAAAAAATTTCTCGAACACTTTAAAAGATTCAGTTTACTTAATTTAAGTTTAATTCCAGTGTGCCCGCAGCCATTCTGGGATGGGCCCATATATTTCATGCGTTTTGACCAACTGAACACGGTAAATAAATGTGATTGTCTTAATTTTTCGTCACAAATATTAATAGCAAACAGAAAAATAAATATTTTCCGTAGGGAAAAAATTTTGTGAAACTCTCAGGCTTATTTTGCACAAAAAAGATATCTTGTAAAATTTTTGTAAACTCATTAGTTTTCCAGGAACAAATTCCTGAAATTCGAAAAAATGCGTTTTTAAAAAATTATTTTCAACCACATATTGCTCAGCTGTAACTGCATTATTGTTAATTCATCTGCTCTTAGATTTTACCTTACAGTGTGTATATTTTTAAATAACAAAAGCATGTGGTTATCAATCGCGAGACAACTACGGTGTTGTTGACCTACTATCCATAGAAGCCTGTATGTAATGTGTATTATAGATGCGTATAAAAAAATTTTACACAAGACATTACCATAGATTCTAATTTTTGTATCAATTATTAAAATTTCTTATTAAAAATCAATAATTGTAAAATAAAGTCAGTGGCCATTATTTACCATTTTCAAGCCAGATCGGCAACGGGTTGATTAACCCCACTGAATCACTCGAAAGGAACCGAGCTTTCCCATATAAACCCCCTATTAATTTTTCCCCAAATCCTTGGAAAAAAATCATTCATCTCCCCAACAGCCGCCTAACAAAAACTGTCCCTCGATCAATCCATGCTAGAAAGATGAAGAGCTAGAAAAAAAAAAAAAAAAAAAAGAAAAAAAAAGCTCCGTCTCTCAAAGCTTGCACCTATTATTCCCACCGTCTCGCACCTCCAAACGCTTCTTCTGCTTTCCCTCTCCCGCAGAGACGGATAAGCACCAGCATCCAAACTGCAGCCGCTCCGAGCACTCGCTCGCGCTATATCGAGCCAACCTCTCTCGGCCTTTCCCTCGAACTGCCCCACCGAATCCGTCCGCTCTCTCTCTCTCTCTCTCTCTCCGGCTCATGTCTTCGACGAGGAAAAATAATAAACGACAGAAGCACGCGAATAGAAGAAGCGAAGGCGAGAAAAGCTCGTCGGATCGTCCGAGTCTTTCGGCTGCTCCGGGCCATCGCGTATCGCGTGCACACGAGCAGAGAGGCCGCGAGGGGCGGCGGGCCATTTCCGCTTCTCGCGCGCCGTTGGTGGTGAAAAAAAAACAAACAACAAAAAAACAACAAAAAACAAATAAAGAACCACTGGTGCCCCGTGAGTGCGAGTCAAAGTGCCAGAGTTTACGGGATCGCATGCGGCGTGTGTGCGCGTGTGCACGGGATTATTACACCGAGTGGTGGGCCGATAATCGCGACGATGGGTAACGCTCAGAGGAAGGCGAGCGCCAGAAAGGGATATCTGTCCAAAAGCTCGAGCAGAAAGTCCATGCAATGGGACAGCTCAGGTAAGCTCTGCCCCCGAATCGGTTAAAAGACGGCTCTTGAGCACACGCGTCGCAAGCTCCATACATCGCAAGCTCGACCGGGTCTCTTCATTTTTTTTTTTTTCCTTTCTTCCTCGCTAATGTTTACCTCAATTTATTATTATTATTTTTTCTTCTCTTCATCCCACACACGATCAGAGCAGTACCACTGGCTGGTGCATGTTGGTGTAGGTCGTAAAAGTGGTGGTGGTGGTGGTCAACGGGCACGCACATACGTCTGGGCTGCGGAGTCGCGCGTACGGTGGTCGGGAGATATAAATATCACCTATACGCTCTCTCGTCTCCTCTTTTCTTCCCTTTTTTTTTCTTTTTTTTTTCCCCTCTTCGTCTTCACCTTTACACTGCCCCCCCCCTCCACTCGCCATTGCACGGAAAATCCAAACCATATGCTCCAAATGAGAGGTTCGTCATTAATCACGCGCGTGACTCGCAAGCACACTCGAGAAATCCGATCGTAAATCATACATGTATACGTTATAATACGTGCTCTCGATTTCGAGCTGTAGGGCGTAAAATGTGTGCGTATATTACATTTGAAAAAAAAAATCATCGGCACATGGGATGGTTTATTTTTGCACTCGTTTGCGTGATCGGCGCATCGCTTGTTCCATAAATCGGTTAGACTCATCAACATATGAGTAATAACAATAATAACGGAGGGTAGAAGCAAGAGTGATATTGCTTGCAAGCTCGACTGGTTGCAGTGTTTCTTCCCCTTTCTATTTTCTATCTGCTGCGCGGGTGCTCTCTCTCTCTCTCTCTCTCTTTGGCTTGTACGAACACTACGAGCATAATATATAGTTGGATGGATAGGTATACCGATTTCCCTCTTTCTCTCTCTTTGGCCAGCCCGCACCTGTTTGATACAGATACAATGATCTTTTTGGGAATTTTTGATGTGCAAACTGATCGGGGTCGAAGATAATACGGGTCCATTATTTGCGCTGTACGCAATGATGGGTGCTTGCGGGCGAGTTACGCGAATCTTCGTTTTTTCCATCTTCGTGTACAATGTGTATGCGCGTCTGCGTGTTACCTCGCGTTTTCTCTCGTTTTCTACGTTTTTGTACACTCGGTGCTAATATATAACACACGGGCAGATGACCGAGACGGTAGAAAGAGGGTCAGCGTGGCGCTTTTCCCTCCGTCTGACGGACTGAGTGAGGCGAGACGGTGTACAGTCGGAGACAAGGATGAAATGTTCCTCTCTTACGATTTTTTTTTTTTTTTTTTTTTCACTGATTTTACCATTGCCTTTTCATACTTACACGTTTCTGTGGCGACTCCAATCGAACTACGTTCAAATGCAAAGTACTTCTTCTATGATGACCGAATGTTTCTGTTGATTACTGTTTTTTTTTCACTACTTACGTAGATGGTTAAAAATGTTGACTCTGATGATTGCTCGATGATTTATTGTCCATCACCACGAGTCTCACGACATTGTCGATCTTCTGAAATCAAAGCTACAAGTATTGAACGAGACTGTGCCGTTTTTTATGCGACATTGGACACTGATATAGATTCGTTTGCAGTTCTTGTATTAAATATCATTCGAATAGACAATATATCTACATACAATAGCTACTTCAGGTAAAAGTAACAATACAGAGACACAAGGTCATAACGAGGTCAAAATCATGACGGGGCCATCAGGTAAAAACAGATAGAAAAGCTAGTGGCAATGGATTGTTGTTGTTTCGGTTGGCGGTCACGTGGAAAATATCGACAGTTTGCAGCTTGCACCGATACTCAATCGCGCGACTGCGACATACCGAGATCCATTGTTGACTTCTTAAAACACTCTCGTGCCACGGCAGTATGTGCCAGTCGTTTATCGGACTTTGCGGCGAAATCATGTATATTTTGTTGTTTCGTACGTTGTGGTCGACAAGCTTGCCAGAGCTTTTAAGTATCCATTGAAAGATCTCGTAATCCGTTCGCGTTACTTGTGATAGTTGATGGATAAATGTGGAAAAGTTGGTGCTTTACGATGGAGGTATGACGATAGTTATGTTTTATATTTGTCAATGATCAGTACTTTGAGTACTCGTGTGAATGAATGATAATAAGAGAGAGAAACATACATTAATACATTTTTCCATAAATACATCCTGCCCTCGTGAGGCATATCATATCTGTATTTCAAGATTTACCCTTACTGTATATATCAATCGTCGATCACGTATGACGCTCCGTTATAACATTCTCAGAAACTGTTATGTTACCCGTGCGTATACTTATTCGACTTGAGTACATTTTTACTCATATTCTTTCTTGAAGCGTCTTTTTCTTGGTAATGTTAATTTCATGAATCAGCTTATCTGTAGTACTCGTGTAAAAAATTATTTTTCGTCATACATAGTGTTTGTGCATGACTGCAGGTAATCATTGAATCCTATTTTCACATTATTTTGTGATAAACACTTTTTTACATGTCACTGTCTTTTTGTAGTGGGAAAATTATTTTTTTTATACTATATTTTTGAACCTTTCCCTAATATGTATGGAATTTCCGTGTTTTACTTTAGTTCAAAATAAAAATCTAAAAAAGATATTTTTGATCGAGGTTTAGAACTTAGTCTTTTGACGCAATCGTGTGAAATATATATGTTTTAAAAATTATAATAAAAATATTGTTTTTTATTTTTCTTTATTTTAGAGTGACCAAGTAATATGCTTCAGATTTTTTCTGTTTGATAAAATTTATAAACCATCATCAGCTTTAATGAGGAACCTAAAGTCATCTTCCAAATTTACGCTCAATTGGACAATAGATCCGCTAAAAATTATTCTTGTATCAAACATTTTTCTTTTTATGAGTTGGTCGCACCTACGGTACTTTTAACATTTAATTTTGATATTGTTAGTTTTAATCTTGAATCGAACAAAATAACTCATGATTCATTATAATTTAGCATTAAAGTTGTACATCACTTTACAATAAAAAGCTCTATATTTTCATTTAGTCACATATTTACAAAATAAAGCGTAAGGTCAAGTACGAAGGACTCGTAGTAAATCTGTAATCTAGATATTTGAGTTTTTCAAGTCAAGGTAACTTTCAATGATGATGGTGATTATCAATATTGATCAATAACATAAAGTATAAAAAAATGTTGTGATTTGATAGTTTACGTATCAACGTTTTCTTTCCTTCTCATTTACATGATCAAGTGTTGAATACAATTTTCTGTGGTGTAACATAGAATACTCAGTTAATTTATTAGACTCGTTAACTTAAATACTGAGATCTTTTAACCATCGCTGATTCATAAACTCAGTTAAAAAAATTTTTTTTTACGCACTAAAAAATATTTTTAAATTCCCCACATGTGTGCGATTTTAAGAGCAAAAGTGTTAAGTCACTCATGAGTTACCTAGATTCTAAGACATTTGGTCGCATTTTCTTATCCTATGCCATTGTTTTTGTGTGATTTTAATCCTACACGCCATATAATCTGAGTTTTAAAAACCATATTTTTCGTTAAATTCATTGCACTTAATAAATTTATTTCAAGACACACCTGTTCAGATAAAAATCGAGGTTTGAACTTTTTCGTTGCACTGCACAATTTTCAAAACGTTACTAGAGTCTTCTGATCCCAAGAAAATGATCTTGGAAGAGCACAATTTCAAAAAATTCATTAAACCAGACAAAATGCGATCTGTGTACTAAACGAAAGAAAAAAAAAAAAAAAAAAAAAAAAAATATCCACGAATNCGAGCTTTCCCATATAAACCCCCTATTAATTTTTCCCCAAATCCTTGGAAAAAAATCATTCATCTCCCCAACAGCCGCCTAACAAAAACTGTCCCTCGATCAATCCATGCTAGAAAGATGAAGAGCTAGAAAAAAAAAAAAAAAAAAAAAAAAAAAAAAAAAAAAAAATATCCACGAATTTAAGAGCAACGCAAAAACATTTGGCAATAGCAGGAAATACGAGCCGAGACACGAGCTTTCGTTCGTCGCATGTACCGCAACCTAAACTCCGCGCTGATTCTAATATCCCGCCAAAAAGGAGCCCCAGCACCGCCAGGCAAACCGGTCCTCATCCCAGGCCCGGACGACTCTCAATCCGACGTTGTCCTCATCCGGTGGAACATTTCGCCGCACAGCGGTGGCTCGAGTATCATCGGTTACTACGTGGAGCAGCGGAAAATGGGCAGTCCGCACTGGGAGAGCGCCGCGCCGGTGATTTGCCGGGAGCCGGAGCTGATGCTCAGCGGCCTCGAGCCCGGCTGGCGCTACCAGTTTCGCATCAGGGCCCAGAACTTTTTGGGCACGTCGGAACCGAGCGAGCTGTCGGATCCGTTGACCGTTACTCTGCAGAACACGACGCAGATTGTGCCAAAGTTCAACCAAGAGCTCAGAGATTCTTTCGTTGTACTCTACGGATACGTAAGTTTTATGCGTTATTGATTCAATTTAGTGCAAATTTGTAAGTTCACGTGGAGTTTCACATGAATTTTGAATGCGGAGGAAATTCCTCGTCGATTTTCCTCATGAAATTCCAAGTTGGAAACATTTTTCAAAGAATATTCGTCGTGTAGTACGATGTTGGGACCTTATCATCGTCTTTCCATTGTATACTTAGACACTCAATCTATATGAAACCGTAAATTCCTGTGGATAAGTTACAAGAAATGTTGCTTGAAATAATTTATTTCACGTAGTACTCGATGAGAAATTTTTCTATAAAGAAAATTCATGCGAAATTTCACGTGGACCTTTGAAATGGGGCAAAGTAGGTACTTTTAGTGCTTAAAGTATCATTGTACCATCCGAAATACTATTTGAGCTGGTCTACATTGTTAGCCTGATCAAGACTGCTCATTTCAATTAAGGCAGATTTTTACGTATGCAAAAAAGTTAAAAACTTCTTTGTCTCGTTTCAGGTTGAAATAATGGCAAGTTACTCTGGACTGCCTATACCAGTCATTAGATGGTTCAAAAATGACAGCGAACTGATGTCCAGCGGGAGGATTGAAATTAAGACTGACTGTAACAAAAGCGTACTAATAATCAAAGGGGCAAGACAAATGGACGAGGGGGAAATTAAATGCATTGCCACGAACCGAGCTGGAAGGGTCACCACGAAAGCTAAACTCATAGTTGAAGGTATGTACAAATAAATCTTCTCACGTATATGTAATTACGTGTGAACATCACTACTAATTGTAAAATTGAGGATTGTGTCAATTGTATTTTATTGATAATGGAATAACTATCAAACGACTATAGTACCAGCATTCGTTCGACTACCCAAAGGATACGATGAAGGATTACTTTTTGCACAAGACGAAGAAGTGAAGTTGCGAGTCACCCATGGTGGTAAGCCGTCACCCAGTGTCACCTGGTATCACAATGGAGAGATCGTCCTGGCTGATCATCGACGTAGTTTTGAAAGTACTGCGGAAGGCGAGAGTATTCTCATCATCTCCAACGCTGTGCGTGATGACCGCGGAGAATACACCGTAAGGGTGATCAATAAACATGGCGAGGGAGCGATATCTTTTTTGGTCACCATCATAGGTAGGTAAGGTTTTCTTTTTCTCTGATGAAGATGGACTTAACAATTTATGTACATGTATAATAGTTATAATTTTTGTTAACCGTTGAAAATATCAAAGGATTCCCCGTTTTTTAGTCAAGTTACTTTTTCCATTATAGATAGTCCTTCTCCTCCCCGGAATGTGACAGTGACACGAATATTTGGCCGGAGTGTTTCATTGGCGTGGATGGAACCGGATGACGATGGTGGAAGTAGTATCGGAAATTACCTTGTCGAATATCATAGAGTAATTATCAAACCTATACTATACTTGACGCTTTAAAGAAAAACGTCTTATTATTATTATTGTGTTACAGTATATATACATACTTTCTGTAAAAATCAATTTCTTTTTAAAAAATTATAAATACCACGTAAACTTTGAAATACTAATTATAATATTGCTTATTTGTTTAAGATGGGATGGGATATGTGGTTAAAATCAATGACTTGCAAGTACACGACTGTCATGATAAACGATTTGATAGAAGGATCAGAGTACGAATTTCGCGTGAAAGCAGAGAATCTCTATGGTCTCAGCGATCCTAGCGAGAAAACACAGATTGTTTTCATACCAGATGTCAAAAGAGGGTGCGTGTGATAATTAATAAAAAAATATATTTTTTTTTTTTTTTTTTTTTACTAGCGTGATATGCTTACTAGAACAGTCACAAGACTCGAGAGTGCTGTTGACCAGGACCTAAAGATCTAATTGTGATTGTTTTGATTGGATATAAATCAGTGTAGAAAAACATTTCTTGTAACGAAGGCACAGCAAACGATCACATTCTTGGTATGTTTTTAATTCTACTGTCTTTATTTATGTACAAATCAGAATTACTGAGCCAAATATGAGGATAAGATCGGTAAGCCATCGGGACATTCCACGTGGACGCAGTGAGAGACGTGAAATCAGTTTTCATGAGCCCACTCAGAGGACACGTAGTTTGACTCGCGAGGAAGCTTCGAATCGGGAAGCCATGTCAATGTACGAGCGTACCTTATCGCCCACAAGATTAGTCAGATCATCCAGAGCTGACAGTCGCGTAACTTTCATTCTAGACGCCAATAGTCGTGAAAAAGATGAGCCTCCAACGAAAGAACGTGAGGTTCTAGGTACGCTGAGAAATTCAAATTTTAGACTCATTGATTATTACTTTTATTAACGGTTTTAACAACTAAGTATAGTATACCTATTCTTTAATTTTCAGAAAGAAGTAGATCACCACAAACAACGATTGTAGTAACTCCGAATTACAATGACTCGGGAGGCCAGCGAACATACTTGGATTCACGGTCCCGTACTGTTTCCTACTCACGTGAACATAGTCCGTCACCCCTTGTGTTGGAGGAGTCAATGGAAGTCGCGATCAAGCAAACGGTGGACAGTATGAGATCAAGTTTAAGTCCACCATCTGTAGTACCTAGGCATAGACGTGGCAGTAATGAAACTGAAACGAATTTAAAGGAGGGTAATGAAGATGATATGTTACACGGTAGTTCGGAGTTCATGTTAGTACTATATCCAGGTGAAGAAGATCGAAGACAGTACGAATCAGAACGTTTAGAGAAACAATCTGAAATCACTCGACGAGAGACACGAGGAACCTCAGAGGCTTTGAGTAAGTACATAAAGTTTTTTTTTCTTATTGTCCATCATAGAACTATGTTGTGGAAAAAGTTGGCATTGAATTAAATATAACTTAATTTTCGTTTAGCGAATCGATTTGTCGAACGTCAATCAGCTGTCGAAGTACCTCCAGATGAAGAAGAGGAGGATTTAATTCCACCACCCATGTCACTATCTCTTCCCGAACTATTTAGCCCCGATCATCAAATTGTCGAAATCGTTCGGGAGGCGGTCAGTTCAACCGAACTTCTTCATGAACGTGCAATGGAGCGCTTTTATCGTGCAGTAGAAGCCGAACAATCCATCGAACAGAAACGAAATAAGACCAATGATCCAAAAGCAAATCGTTCAGGTGACAATGAGGCATATCCTCTATTCAAATCAAGGTCTCGTCCGATACGAAGACGGTTATCGAATTCCGGCGCAAATACCTGGCAAGTTCGACGCGATAGACGAAGATCGAGTGAGGGAGAAGCTAATGTAACTTTACTTAAACCTCCGAAATTACCTGTACCTTCTCCGTTATTGAACGTATTGTCAGATCCAAACCTGCTCACTAAAGATGAAAAACCCACGCAAAAGGCGGAGCCCTGGCTGATGGGCGGAGGCAGCTCCGAACGCCTACGCAGGTGGCACGAGCCTGGTATTGATCTCAATGAAGAGTCCACAGCTGCTTCGATTGACAGAGAAAACACCCAGAATAATCAAAAAGAGAAATTATTGAGCATGCCAGAACTAAAGCCAAAAGTAGGAAAACCATTCCAATACGTAGATAAATAGTATTACTAAAGTGTAATGCTAAATTAATCTGTTTATTTTTTTATTGTTTAAGGAACCGTTGGAAGTGCAAGTGGTCGAAGAAGAATATGATGAAGTTGCACCTGATATTATTTATGCGGAAGACAGTATTGAAACCTCTTATCTCTCTTCGGAAGCGGAAAGTACTGATAGCGAAGATTTGAAACATCTTAAAGACAGAATAATGGCTATTCCAGTATTAGAAGAAGAAGAAACATATCATCCCCGTGGCCGTATGCTTTTGCATCTGAATACAGACACACCACCTCCAGTTCCACCGCACAGATCTTTATCACCCTCCCCTACGTCACCGAATGGTACCATTGTACCAAAGTCTATTTTGAAAAAGCGCACAGAAACTGAATCTATACCAGTGAATCAATTTGGTAGACCAATTCCACCGGAAAAACCCATTCGAAAGTCACTGCCACCTCACGAGGACGCTAGTGTGACAATGCTCAACAGGTAATTTCATTTTATTCAGTATACACATACTTTATCATTCGTCTGTTCAAGTATTTGTAAAATAAACGTAACTTATTTAATAGGTCAATATCAAATCAGAATTTTGAAGATGTGGCAGAGATGAAAACAGTGACACCTGGATTTGTAGCTGTATCTCCACTCCCCTCTTCATTTCAACCGATAGTTGTCACTTTATCAACGCCCACTCCAATAGTGACACCGGCACCTGTACCATCATTAAAATCACCTGTATCTACGTCTACAACTGAGTCAAGTGCAATAAACAAAGGAATGACGGATTCCGATAAAGAAGCTGTTATTTCTGCAGGAGAAGCCGCTGTTTCCAAGCGCAAACAAATGCGTCAAGGTTCAAAAACACATTCAACTGAAGAGTCTGAAGAAGAACATGAAGAAAAGATGGCTGTGGTTAGTCATTACACAGAACTCGTGAAACAATATTCCAATCCAGATTTCAGACAACGTTCGTTAAGTCGAGATAGAGAAATAAAACGTTACGAAAGTCCTTCTCAAACCAGAGTTGCATCACCTATGCCAAATCAGACAAACCAATACAATAGTCAAACGCTCAAAAAAGAAGCATTGTCCGTAACTCCAGGAAAGACAATAGAGCCAATTTCTCCCATAGGTCCACCAATTACTACCCATAACGTAATACCCACAAAGATCATAACACCCATACCACCAGTAATACCATCTATGCCGATAAAACAGGCAATGCCGATATTACAGTCAGAACGAAGTGGAAGACGAGGCAGTTTATCGAGTCGAGCAAATGAGAGTGACTCGGATGTATCTGTTAGGGGAAAGTTAAGGGAACCAAGACCAGTGAGTGACGGCGATAGAGAAAGACAAAGATACATGGACATGAGTGATTCCAGAAGCTCGACACCAAGTCACAGAAGGGCAGACAGTCGAACGAGAAATGAAAACCGCCCACCCGCGAGGAACGAGTCACCAATGCCTAGGTCTAGAAACGTATCAAGGGATCGAGGATCGGTAGTGGAGTCACGATCATCTTCTAATGCAAGGGAATCTAGACCAGTTAGTGGGGCAAAAACGAAAAGCAGCCGGCCATCATCCAGGGCTAGTTCTAGGGACCGATCACGTGCCAATACACCAGCTGAAATGGAAATTGAACGACTTCAACGAGCTTTGGATGAGCAAACAGATCGTCTAAGGAGGCTGTCCAGTAAAAATGAGCCTGTAAATGCTGAAAATATTAACCTTAGAATAGAAACTGAAAAAAAAATTAGGACGACATTGAGTTTTTTGATAGATATGGGTTTACTGATGGCTGCATTTTATTTATATTTATTTAAAAGAGAAGAACTGGCAATTCCCATAATTGTCTTGTTGTTATATCGTCACATACAGCAGGAAATCAAAGGCTGGATACCTCGCTGGTGGAGAAGTGAAAAACGTTAACAATGTTGTTAATGTTTTATGGTAATTATGACGTTGTTAATGTACGATAACAATGTCCCTGATGATCAGTAACGTTGTTATGTAAATGCGCTTTGTTTTCCAAAAGAGAATGTTAAGAATTTGAAATTTTGGCTTTCACGAATACCATATTTTTTACTTTTTGTTTAGTGTTTTCCATTTTTCAATCAATGACAAATCAAACGTTGATTTTTTACATACAATTAATCACAAATACCATTTTTGTCTTTCGGCAGAATTTGTTTTGATGTTTTCTCTAAATATCTTTTTAAACACTATACTCATAGAAACAATGTGAGGAAAACTTGTTTTTAAAAATGATAAAATCATGTCTTTGCTGGGATCTTTTTTAGTAAAAGATTTTAAGCTTAAGCTATATGGACCAGATAATATTTTTTAACATCCTCTTTTATTTAAATGTTTACTGAATTTTAAATACCTGTTTTACATAGCATGAGAGATTTTTCTAAGAGTTAGATGTTTAAAAAATAAAAAAAAAATGTTTAAGTATAAGTTAATTGTTTTTCGACAACGATTCGAGATAAAATCGATAACATTTAAATGCACATATCGAGTTAGTCGTCAAGTATTCTTAGAAACTCAATCATGCATTTAAATTGATTCGTATATTTGTTGGATTTTGGGGGTGTAAGTTACATTATTGAGTATTATGTCAGTTTTTAAATTCTTTAAATGTTTATGAATGTTGGAAATGTTCAAAAAGGAAATGTTTTGACCTTCATCGAAAATTTATTCACGTTATGTATTATATATTTATAAATATGAATAAAAATTATATTGAATGAATTTATGTCTCATAAAACTCTGTTTTAACTGCAAATCACGCATTTAATTATGATTCATACATAAAAATACCTGTTCCTCTGTTTTTGCGAATCCTACTTACCAAGAATAAAAAAAAATAAAAAATATTATATCAAGGGCATTAACATTTAGAGTTAGAGTTTCTTTTCTTCATTTGTTTGCACGTATACTACCATGGAGACATAATTAATAGGAGTAGTAAGGCGCAACCGAGCGGCTACGGGCTTTTGAAGTCATTAAAGAAGACTTCAAAAATGATTTTAAGTCTTTCAAAGACTTCAGACTTTTTACCAGAACTTCAAGAGTGTATATAGTTCAAAGTCTTTTAAAAAGACTTCAAGTCATTAAAAAAGACTTAAAAAGTCATTCTAAGTCTTTCAAAGACTTCAGAAGTCTCCAAAAGACTTCAGACTTTTTACTGGAACTTCCAGAGTGCATATAGTTTAAAGTCATTAAAAAAGACTTAATAAATCATTCTAAGTCTTTCAAAGACTTCAGAAGTCTCCAAAAGACTTTAGAGTGCGCAGCCCCTCGGGGTAAGAAGCTGTAATGACACAGTGCAAAGCAAATGAATAAATCAGCGTGCGAAAGTAAAGAAAGAAAAAAAGCATTGAAAGTGACATAAGGGTAGGAGGAGAAGATGGATATCGAGAAAAGGAGAAAAAGCGTGTTACATGGACGGAGACGAGGGAGAAAGATGGTTGCGAGAGGACATTATGTAGAAAAACGACGACAGACGAAGACGGAGACTCGGAACAAGGAAGAGGAGAGAAACGACGATGGAGAGGGCATAACATAGCGGGTAAAGCGGCGCGGCGCGTCGCGACGTTTTTAGACCAGAGCCCCGTGTGGGTATATAGCGCTCGAAACGAGTCTCCTCCGCGGCCACGGCTCCGTCAGATTCCGGGCAGGCGCGCTGCCACCTTCCTTCCTCCTCCTACCTTACCATCGCTTTTCCGACCCCCCGATCTCGGAACCGATTGAAAAATGCTTACCGATCAAAACGACGCGACAACTCGGGGCGGGTGAAAGTCAGTCGGAAGGAAAAAAGCTCCGAGCTTTTGCTGCCCTATAGCAGCGGCGGTGCTGGCGTGGTGGAACGAGGCGGAAGAAGAAGGAGAAGAAGAAACAGCAACGACAGACGCGAGGAGAGAACAGGAGAGGAAGAAGGTGCTTTCGCGCGCGCAGTGTTTTCCTCTCGGCGAGTGTTGGGTTTTAGCAGCAGCATCAACAGTTAGTTAAGAGCTTGCGTGCGTGCGTGCGTGTGGTAAACTGCAGCGTGCGTGAGAAAAAGAAAAAAATTTTCTTTCTGTCCTCCTCCTTCTCTGTCACTTTTTGTCATTACATTAGGTGTGAGCCCCTCTTCTCGTGCGCCTAGTGAACACATCAGCCATGACAAACCGGCCCGGGAACTAGAGGACGAGAGACGAAGGGATGACCCTAACAGGTAAGCCGCTCTCGCGTAGCTTCTGGTCGCGCTTCGCCTTGGGAGGGACGAGCGCGCGTAGTTTCTGCCGCTGCTCTTGACGTCTTGAAAAAACTGAATTTTATTTTTGGAAATATTCCCATCCTCCGCCCCGGCCCGCGCTCTTTCTCATCGTCTCGCTCGCCTCTTTAACCACGGACGCGCTCCGTGTTTTGACTTTGCGCGCATACACAAGCGCTTCAAAGTTGAATAAGCGGGCTGTGGTAATCGCATTCCGGGCCATTGTATACATTGACGGTGGTTTTTGTGTCACCGACAGGTCGACAGGTGGTTTTTTTTCCTGGGAAATGTCTTTCTTTTCTTTTTGTCTTTCCCTCCCAACGAGATGCACCAACAGGTTTTACGATCGCGTTTTTTCCGAGTATTTTCCAGCCGAGTATCGCTTGCCGAGTGACAAATGACAAATCCCCATGCGGTCCGAGCGATAAATTCGAAATCGCACTTCGTCATCCGGGGGGTCCACGCGCTTGGATATGATTCAAGCCACGACCGCGCGATCCATTAATCCTTTTTGCTGAAATTTTTACTCTTGCAACCTGCTGGCGTGCTCTAAAATTATCCCCCCCGATTGGCTCGAACTACTCACGGAGTATAGCTATCGCCGTACGCCATGTAATCGAGAAATATTTTTTCTTATTTTACTCTCGTAATTCGGAGCAATACAAAAGCAACATTTTTTTCCCCAAAAATCCATTTCAAGCGTTACGTACATATACAAATCTATTCGTCGTTCAAGGAAGCGCGTTTCTGTCGTCGAATGACGTATCGCGTCGTTGTTTGCTCGAATTTGGTTTGCTTTTTCGAAAGAAAACAAGTAGACGGAAGCGATCAACACAAAGCGATACAACGAAAGTACATTAAAGCGGAGAATAATCGAGAGGAGGTGCAAGGAGGGCGGATGGGCCGAGCAATATCGCTCGCCGACGTGCTGCCTCGAAAAACTGGCGGGAGGCTCGCTTGCCAAACGGATGGAAATAGGCCAGTCCATCCTCCTCTCTCTCTCTTGCTCTTTCTTTAAAACGCTAATCAGAAGAGAAGTTTGCACAAGGTATCTCTTTTTTATTCCCCTCCTCGTGCATCGTTTTCTCAAGTAAGAAGTAACCCAAGTTGGGCGCGATAGTGGCGCGATCGTTGTTGTTTGAATTTTCGCGCCTAAAACCTAGAAGCCGTGAGCGTGTGGGGTAAAGAGCGCGAGAGAGCGGTTTTCAAGGTCGGGCGAAAACGTGCCTTGAAAAGGGGACGAATTGGCCGATTTGTTATTCGTGATCGGCGATCGATAGTGTGAGCTTCTGATGCACAACCCTCTCTGTCTTTCTTTTAATAGTCTTTGTTGGCATGGCGAGCAAAAAGAGAGAGAGAGAGAGAGAGAGAGAGAGAGAGAGAGATCACACATAGGTATCGCATCATGCTGTACGTGTATAGTCCCCGGAGTTCGCGTTAACAACACGCGGTCATTTAAATGGGGTATTTTTAGAAAAGCCGGCTTAGCCAGACATACACAAACCCGCACGTTTCTTAGCTATATAGGGCCGATGCAGGACGCACGATACGCTATAAAATTCATGTGCGTGCGTGTGTGTGTATATAGGTTATGTAGCTCTTCTTTTTTCCGGTCTTTTATAGGTGGGTTACCGGTGCATGACAATCATCTAGTTTTTTCACTCATTGGATCTTTGCGTTTCTTTGGGTTTGCACGCGCTAATGATGATCGCCAGAGTGTAAATCCCTTTCGTAATGTGCAGATACCACGTCGCTTTGATTCGTCGTTATACAGTAATAAGTCTCGGGACGCGTGCCAGTACGAGATCTATGACGTTGTTTGTGTTGCAAATTAAATTAGATAATCTGGTTTCGTTGTTCACGCTGGGGGATATGATATTTGTCTTCGCGTATCACCACCTCTTACGTAATACTTAATTCATTGCTGTATTTTGTAAAATGATAACACCCTGATGTCAAGTTTTAAAGACTTTGAAGACATACACTGCATTTTGTAACTAAAAATGACCTCTGGATTCCTCAAGCGTTGGTTTCCTTGCGTGCGAAAAGTGTGCCAATTCAATGGTATCATTTGAATATGGAAACATGTAAAGTGGGAGGGTCATGCCAATTTATAGTAGGCTTATTATTATTTAAGTGATGAAACAATAGATTACAGTTGATAAAAACGATTACAAAATGGCGTATTCTTCCAAATTAGGTATTACTGGCTGTAAGACAAAATCGACCCACCATTTATGCAAAGGAATTCGGAAGTGATTCTTGGTCACAAAAAGTAGATGACATCCTCGATGATGTTTACAACGTATTTACAGCTCTTATTAGAACCCCTAAAAAAATGATTTAAGGTTTTCAAGACCACACTTTTTAAACGTTTTTGAAATGTTACGTTCCATTGGGAGTTGATATAAGTCGCATTCAAACTCTTAATGGGCTATAAGTTCTAGGGATTATTTGAAGAAGTTCTTCAAGTGAATTAGGTTAATATTGGCACATAAATATTGATAAAAATATAAGCGCTGATTACACGTTTGTTACACGATCTTCTCGATGATTCTAAATAGTCTAAATGGCCTAGCACATACTACAATAGGTTTCAAGACATTTTTAACACACTTTTCAAACATTTGTATTCCTGGGATGGATAAACAACTCGAGTCAAGTGCGAACAACTGGGGATTTGTAATTTTTTCAAAAAAATCGACTCAGCCTTTTAACAATAGATAATCTTATTTTTGTTAAACTTAAAAATTTCTGGTTAAAAGAAATATTTTTTTTTTACAAAAACGATTCTCCATAACTTATGAGCAAATAAAAAACTGGATTTCACAGAGTCATACAAACTAACGTAATCACATGGCTTTCAGATCGCGCTTCCAAAGCGGAAGAGTCACCATGGGAAGGGACCGAGGACACTGCCCTGGAGGCGTTCTGCCGTACGGGCGAAGATCTTCTCCTCACGATCGACTTGAGGCATACTGTCAATCAAGATCACTACGAATTCGAAATGTAAGTTGTTGTCTTTGGTAATGGGACAATTTGTGTCCAGCTGGCAGTGTCTTCTTGATGCGTTGGATGATAAATACGTAAACCCATTTGTGGTGAAGGCAATCAGCAATCAACGAGACAATGTTGTCGCATAGGCAGTCTAAACAAACGAATATTTAAATGCTGTTTTTTTTTTTTTTTTTTTTTTTTTTGGTTTCGAATGAGATACAAAGAGAGAGAAAGGGAAACGTGTTTTTGGTCGTATCCATTTGTTTAATTACTTTGTCATGATATTGATTCGTTTACTAACGTTCACTAAGAATCATTTAAAGTTTTTATATCGATATTTCAAACAATATTAACATTGTGTTTAAATCACGTAGCGGAAGTTTAATTTGGTTATTCAAAGTTGTCATTTCGCACCAAGTGTTGAAATTTTAATGATTGTTTACAAATATTTTACGCATATACATGCTTCTTATTATAAACTATGTTTGAGTTTTAAATTGTGAGATTGTATTTTTAGCTTTTGAAATCTTATTTTCATTTTATTTATTATTTTCTAAAAATTGTAATACTTAGTGTGAATTTTTGTTTATTGAGATCACTAAGATAATTCCTACATAATTTTCATGTTGTGTCAATTTCACCAATATTGCATTTTGGTGTTTGAATTACAATTATATTTTTAGATGATAAGTAATACAGCTCTGAATCAGGGATATGTATAGCTCAAATATTTTGCTTACGTGCTTATAAGATAATTTTTCTTATGTGATTAAAATATTTTTGAGCAATTTTTTTTTTTTTTTTTTTTTTTTTTTAATGCGTATTACTAAAATCGATCGAAAAATTTTCCATGAAAGATAAAAAATCTAAATTGATTAAATGTAATGTAATGTAAGTTTTGCCATTTAAAATATGTCGAAACTACTGTGGTATTTATTACACAAAAGTATTAAATTTATATGAAAATACAAGTTTGGACATGGATCGGTTTAGACCTTTGATTTATATCAGTGTATTAAGTTAACTTCTTGTCACAATACACGATCGTTTATCTCACTGTAAGCGAAGTACTCTTAGTGGCTTGCTGATGTACGAATAAACACTTGAAGTTGAAATCGTTGCTCAATGCAAGTTAAAAAATAGTTGACGATACTTACTCACTTGATTATTCTCCCCTTTTTTAAACGGAATATAGATATAACAGTATATTTTGACACTCAGAGTACGAAGTTCAACTTCTTGTTCCCGTACAAAATGTGCGAAGTGCAAGGTTTTTGCGACATTTGCACACTGTATGAACTTTGCGTGACCTGCTCAAATGGGCCATTTCCGACAATTTGGTCGGTCATAAGAAGTCAAACTTCACCCACTTTGTGTTACTACATGAAGTTGAACTTCGCATACTGAGTGTTAAAATATTGTTGCAAATTAAAACATTGTAGTAAAACAAGGGATAGACGATAAAAAATTAGCCACAACATAAAATTTCGTTGCAAATTTTACGATACTCGCAGCAAATAGTGGAGCTTGCCAGCAAAAATCGTCCCGATTTTCTCCCCCTACCCCCTTTAAAACTCGTACTCGCTTGTTCGCAAAGAGCCGCGCAGTCGGTCTCTCCGCATTGTGCCAAGGATCGGCGCGATCGTAGAGGTGTTATTTCAAGCCGGCGTCAACTTTATTCCCCGAGGTCGGAATTATTCTCGTCGTGTCATCCCGTGGCCGGCTAGCATTAGCAGCCTAGCCGACGACTTTGCCGCTATACAACAACGTACAGCTCGAGAGCGCGCGTTTGCTCTTCATTGCCAGGGACAGGCTGACTTGCTCACTCCCACTTTCCTCCCACGCTCTTTTGCCCCGTCTCCGTACTTTTAAGTTTCGATTTCAACTCCATCTTCTTCGTTGGCGACCAACTAAAGGAAAAAAAAAAAAAAAAATACATCCATAATGTAACCCCAACAGCGTCCGATTCGCCTTTACTCCGATAGATTTTCACGCGAGCCGATCGGGTTGTCGAGCTTCGAGAATCTCGCGAGCGCGAGCACCGGTTACGAAAGACGACGCTCTTCTTCTCTGCGCTAAATTCGAAGCGACACTTGTGCGCGCTTGTTATGCATCGCGAAAACAGATGCTGAGGCTTGACATATCTCGTGTATTAGTTGGAAGATTTCATTACGAGGGTGGGAATTATTCGGGGCAGAGACGCTGGATTTCATGATTTTTCTTGTCCCTGTAAGCTTTTTTCAGTCAAAGTGGAGGTGACATTGAAAGGTTGGGGTTTTCTCGTTGTGAATTGAATTTTACTTGTCGAGGCAATGCTCATTTCTCATATATGATCATTCGTTTCATACGCGATGACAAGTAGAGTAAGCCGATTATAGTCAGACCAATGTCAACAGAGAAGAAATGGTTTTTTGAGACGGTTACTACGCGAGAGCGTAAAAATAATCTAATGTACGAATTGAAAAACTTGAAAAACGTAAATTGTTAAAAATAAACCGAAACTTGAAATAGAAAAAACCAAAATCAGTACGTAAACCTATAAGCGCCGTTTAGATGCAAACGAATCACATTCAGTCCACCATGAACACGACGTTGAAACCGTTGTTGCATCCCATTCATTAAGTATTTTGTATTTTGTTTGTTGAGATTTTTTTTTTTTTTTTTTTTACTCAAGTCTAAAAGCCCATGACGTCGAGCATCTAGCGGTTCTTGACCTATTTTGCGCCGTGTCGGGCGAAGACTCGTGGGTTGCGTGCGTGTATATTTACGACGAGTTTGAAACGCTTAATGTCTGGGAGAGATTGGGCTTTGCAAAGGGAGGGAGGAGAGATGACACACCGAAAAGTCAGCGCGTAAACACATGTGACTACTAGACGAACGCATATATTATTCAGAGTTTTTAAAGACCTCTTCGTGGAACTGTAGCAAAGTTTACGTGTTTTTCTTTCATGGAAATTTAAGGTGGTTCACACGTAATTCAAGGGTGTGACTGTCAAATGGATTTTCATTAAAATTACTGAAATTCAAACAATTGTAGCTGAAATTTTTTATTGGATAAATGAAGCTATTCTTATAAAATTTTAAATCGTAATGTTCAACATTAAAGTATCTCGAATAATTTTCTAAAATTTCGGTCAAGTCGAATGATCTATGAACTTCTATTTAGAAGTGCTCAATATTTTTTATGTTAGTTTCATTAATTTAAGGAAAAGTATGTAAATGATTTCTTAAAGTTTCAATTATTAATTCTGACGACCATCTTAAGGGGGTACAGTATTAAAGGACTCTCTTATACCTCAAAGACACTACGTTACTTGTTACATTTAACTTGCCAGTACTCAAAGAGTACATCATGCCAAGGACTGGTAAATTTTTCAAATTGTCTAGTTTTCTTGGAAAAAAAATTCTTATCTAAAAATCAAAGATTCAATTGGCAACTGTTTTTTAGTACTCTACTGTACATTAACCTTTTAAGAATACGTGTATAAAATATTGTAGATGGAAATTTGACAAAGAAATTTAGGACAAATGAGTACGAGACAATGTCGCTTCGGTAACGTTTTTCAAACCAATATAAAAGTTGCGAGTTTCTGTTAAAATGGGAAACCATTTCCAGAGTAAACCACAACGTAAAACGATACGCGTTGTTTGGAACACAAATAGAGGCCACAATTTTGGATACAATAAATAGCCGATGGTTCGTTCAACCGGTTCCATCGAAACTCCGCGGAGCTTTCAAATCCATCCACTTCAAACGCCCCCCTTCCCCCCACTCGCGGACCAATAAATCCACATCGAAAGGTATAATAGAGCCTCACCTCATTGGCGCAAACTTGAAATAAACCAGCCACAAATTCGTAGCTCGAGTCCCCGTCGATCCACGAAACCCCAAAAATAGTCCAAAGACAATCGCGCACCGCTTCGGATCATCACCCGTCCAACCGATCGGCACCAAGTAAGTACCACCACGAGGTACCTCCGACGTTATACGAAGTGGACGCGCGACGACAGGGTGGCGCTGGCTCCGCGGCCGCGTTGTCGAGCACCAGCGTGTGCGCGAGATCGCGCGCTTTATTGTGACGTTTCGCTCGCGCGTCGCCGCGTCGCCTCCACCTCCTCGCTACATCGGCCGTTGCTGGCTCCCCCTTCTATTGGTGCTTTCAGACCCTTCTTTCAACCACTTCCTCGACAGCGGCTGCAAGTTTCATTCAAAAACAAGAGGCCGAAGCGCAAGGGTTTTACCGGAGTGTGTGTTGTGTCCTTCGTTTGGGATTGCAGATCCAACGAGGCAAAAACGAATAAATCTAGGCCGAGGAAAACGACATGGGCTCAATGGATGCGTGGATAGAAAAAGTGGGGTGCTTGAGTTGGTGAAGAAAAAAAGAGACGTGAGCTTGTGATGAAAGGTGGGGTGAAAAGAGGGGGATCGATGGATCATGGTGAGACAGTGATTGTGATCGCGAGGCAGAGCCGGAACAGTATAAGTTATGGGGAGCCAGTGCAGTCAGTGCTGCAAGTGCGACAAGGAGAAGAAGAAGAGGTTTCAGCTGTGGGGCCCGAATCGGCGTGCCAGCATCGCTCGGTAAAGTTCCATTGGTTTCGCGAACGTAGGACTATAGTTTTTTTTTTTTTTTTAAATATCCTGGTGATTGGGTACCTCGGAGAATAATGAGTTTCTCGTTGAGCGCACAATGTGAGCTTCGCCTTGGTGAGCACAGAGCGGCTATTATTGGACCCGGGAAGGCTATTTTCGGCACTTTTTCGTCCTTATGGTTGGCCAAGGTCCTTTCGTTTCGTCAAAATACGAGATGTTTGCTGCCACGCAGATGTTTCGGGCAAAATGAGAAAAAGGGGTATTTAAAAGAGGTTCAATGTAGAGTTATTTGGGTCACGGCCGTGCATTGATTAGAAATAAACGAGACGAGCATAAGGGTAAAATGAGCCGGCTGAACTAATTGCGCGCCAACGCGGCTTTTCATCGCGTTTTCAACTTGGTCTCGAAAATCATTGCAAAGGAAAACCCACGTGGACAATTACACTGACGATAATTCATCTCGCCGTGAGAAAAACAAAAAAAAAAAGCCAGCAACCCACGCTCGGATCAAAACTAACTGTCCATAAAGTCCACGCTCGAAGCGTTTAAATTTAGCCATTCACTCGGCCGCCAATGAATGATCGACGTTAAAAAAAAAAAAAAAAAAAAAACACCCCAGCCTATCCGAAAAGTTGGCTGGAAGCTTCCGTAAACACATCTATACAACATGCGGTATGTACGGTCATAAGAAAGTAATAAAAAAACGAAGTTAAAGCACACCCGACACCCGAGTAATGGCCACGTGTAGCTACGAGCCGTACGTATATTACGTATACTTATATATACGTGGAAATGGAAGGGAAAAAAGCTCGTGTAGGAAGAGCTCGATGGTCTAGAAATATCCGCAACGCGAGTCCGTGCGCATGTGTGAATGACGTAAGTTAACAGCTTTTGTGTACACTGGAGGTAAGATATGGCAACGGTCCATTGCACGAGACTGGCTGTGTTTGGGTTTTTTATGGCGGGAAAAAGACGCTCGTGACGCGCGTAGTTGCATAAGGTTCCGAAAGGTTTTTGTTTAGTCTCGACATCCCGGATCTTTTTCATTCAACGCGAGACTGTTTGCTCGATTGGTTCAAAAATTTCTTCGGAAGCTAAACGATTAGTTTTGCCTACTCAAAAAAATGAAAACAAATCGGCCTCTTTATACGTGTCACTACAGAGCTAACCAGACTCCCAGCAATCGACCGTAGGGATGAAAAAAAAAAAACACCAGCGACCTGACATTGGGAAACAATTTGGATCTGGTAATCGTTTACCTGAAATTTCAATAAATCAACCAATCACCAGACAACAGCTTTACAACACTGATCCCAATAAAATGGACGACCACCAAGTTTCCAATAACCCCACCTCAGAACACAAATCCTGCATCTTACAAGCAGATCAATAGACAAAAAAAAAAAAAACAAAAAAAAAAGAAAACATAGAAAGACACCGTAAAGCACCAAGATCGAAATATTTTTATCCGTGCATACTCATCCCACACGATTCGCTCGAGCAAAATGCATGTGTCTTCTCGCCGCGCTTTGTCAAGGTTGTCGCGCGGCCAGGGGGAGGGAGAATTCGGACGAGCCCCAACGACACGACAAACTTCAGAGAGAGAGAGAGAGAGAGCTTGCGGGCGAGCTTGCGCAACGTTGCGAACGCCCTCGCGGGTATATAGTGCGAGCCCCGTTGAATGGAAGATGGGGGAAGCGAAGGCGTGGAGCGTGGAGTTGCGCACGCGTGGGGACGATGGTGAATTTAATTTTCGACGATGCCTATATATGTACGCAATTGTTCTGGTTGTTGGGATCAAATATCTGGATCGGCATCCAAAGTTTGGTATTGAAATTACAAAAAAAAGAAAAAAAAGAAAAAAAAAAAAGCGTTAACCATCGCATCGACGTGGTTCGCCGTGTTTATTTTTTGTTTACAACTCGATTTCGCGAAAGCGTCCGATGACATACATTTTCTGATTTAGGTGTGGCGAGTGCGTTAAACGCGGCGCGGAGAATGGATCATCGATGATCTTATTGGACGTGAGCCATAATTAGGCGTGTGTTGTGGATACACCTATATTCCGTCTAATCATCGAGAGTTGGGTATTTTTTTAAATCTTGGAATCGATTATTGTTTGATTGTTAGTTGGAGGTTTTTGTTAATACGTAATTATCGATCGACATAATTCGACGCCGGTTTGCATTGAAAAACCTTTTCGAGCGTATTTGTCTCGAGTTTTCATTCATTGAACCAGAAATGTAATTTATTTTCCGTGAAGGGTGTATTATATCATTTTCTCCGTTCGCAGGTGGTCTACTTTCAAGTGTCTTCTCACGTGGTTTGCGATTATACAACCGGTTTGAATCATAAAATTTTCTCTATAGATTTATGTAACAGAATGTTTTTAACAGAAGAGATGAGTGACTGTGTTAATATCAATGGAAAACTGTGAAGATATTGACGAGTGAATGTAAAACCAGATTAGATTACTGTAGTTATAAAGGGGGGGGGGGCAAACAAATGATGATATACTTTAAACTGGATAGAAAAGTCTTATCAAGTGAAAGGGTGTTGTACAATTCGCGGAACTGCTGTAAAATTTTTCTATAAACATGAGTTTATGAAATTTGAATGGATAGTCTATGAGAAGGTTTACATGATCTCGTATAATTTCCTGTAAAACAGATTCATGCAATCGTTAAAATGATCCAACAGACAATTGTGTAACAAAAAGGATCAGTAATAGCTGCCAGAATTTTAGCGAAAAATTTGATAAAAACTAATATTTCTTCCCACAAGATTTTTTTGATTACAATTTATTTTTTTACAATACATCTATAAAGTTCTACTGGAAATTCTGTACAAAATCCTACACGGAAAGTCCAACATTTAAAACGAATCCATGAAATCCTACGGACAGTTCCACAAGAGTCGTTGTAGAACTTTTCCTATAAACATGATTACACAAATACTTGCGGACACTTTTGCAGGTATTTTACAACTAAACATCAAAGCTTCGAATCTAAGCTTCGATCGAGAGATCCAGTTTAAAGGACTTCTGTCAAATAATTTGAATTCCTTCAACATCTGAATCACACGTTAAGGTCATTACTTTACTCCTGTATGCACTCGGATGAAAAATTGGTATTTCCAGCGGAAATTATTGAGAGAAAATAGCGTTGGAAAATAAAAAAAGCTCGCATGTCCATCAAAAAAGTTTTAATTTTCACTGCAGGATTCCCTATTAGGCATTCCCACAATACTTACCACAAATACATAATCTTCGAGTATAAATATCGTAGGTTTTCGTGAGGAATGAGACGTATCATCAAAAAATCAAAGGCCATTAATGTTTGTATTTTATTGTCGGTTCTAGACACCACTGCCTTTGGCTTATAGGATAACATAGCGTGCTGCAGTATTGTGCACGAAGCAACTTGAGTAACAATGGAAGCGGCACAACAATGCGCCGTAATGGTAATTGTATATTCCTCGGATCGGCAGGGAAAAAATTAAAAAAAAAAATAAAAAAATAAAAAAAATTCACAGGTACCGAGGCGAGCCGCCGATGCCGAGCGACCGTTTCCGCGTGGAGGCGCGCGGCAACAAGGTCCAACTGACCCTGCAGCACGCGAGCAAAGGTGACGCGGGCCACTACGCCCTGATAGCGAGGAGGCTGGCCCGCCCCGGCGACAAGACGAGCGAGACCGAGCGATTATTCTCCAGACGAGTGCACATGAGCGTCGACGAGCCCTCGTCCTACGCCGAGGAGGGCGACCCGCCACTTTTTCTCCGCCGGCTTACCGATCTCACCGTCAAAGTCGGCACGCGGACGCGCTTCCTCGTCGAGATACGAAGTGCTACCGATGTCAAGGTTGGTTTGCGATTTTTTTTTCTTTCCCCCCCAACTCTGTGATGTCTCTTTTGTACACGAATCAGCTTGGCGAGACGATGAGCGGAGTATAAATAATCATTGTTATGAAAAAGGGAATTAGATGACGTCATCTAATTGCATTGGTCAGTTCTCTTTGAACAATGTATTTTTACCATATCAATGATGAAGAAAATTTTAACTCGTTTGAACTCAACTATTACGTAAGTGTACAAACGGCTTGAGAAATAGTTGGAATGAAAGTATTGAAATATTATATGCATGCCACGGTTGAATCGACGAGAGTAAAATTATAAGTATTATTAATTCCATTATTACTCGTTTCAAAACTAGAGAAGTGAAATGTACATTTCGACCCGAACACGTGTAAAATAGAGGTGATAATCCGCTAAATTAAAAGCTCGTGTGATATTTATACACCGTCGAGCCCAGTTCTACGGTTTATAGATATTCGTGTGTACAACGCGTTCCAAAATACACATCTTTCCTTAAATTAGTTTAATGATGAATTGGTCTAATTATCTCAAACGTTTTGTACACCTCAACATTTTTCCACATATACATCTACGGATTCGCTTAAAAGCCAATGTAATTAGTTGCGTGGTGTAAAAAAAAAAAAAAAAAAATAATCTAATTGTTAAAAATTTTTTACATTAAAATCTACAAATAATTTTGAAGGGATCGATTCTCACAGTATAGGATGCAATGTTCGTAAGCATCAGACGCGAAAAGTACGAAAATAAACGATGACGGAAACAATGAATCCGAGATAACTCGAAAAAGCACAAAGAGGAGGAACGGAGTAGCCCAGAGAATCACCTAAATCTGGTTCGCAGTGGCGCGCATCGGTAAGCGCAAGCTCGGAGCGTGCAAGTTAACGAGATAGTTCAAAGCACCCTTGCGGGCTCGAACAACGAGAGCCAACGTCTTCCGCGTTTTCATCTTGATCGATGGTATGGAATCGTCGTTTTTCAGGCGTATTTAGGCAAGAGCCGATCAGCGGAGGGGAGTCTGTGAACTCACTTTGCTGGACTATTATTACACCTCGGTAGAGTGGCTCTTGATGCAAAGTTACTCGATTAACTCTGCAGGAATATTCGCGATGATGATTTATTGGCTATGCTCTGAAATTTCGGCCGTTAAATTATGACATCGGTTTTAGGTATGATGTACCATTATTTGAAGATTGATGTTGAGCTCGAGTGATCTGGTTTTAATTAATTGGAAAATTTATTGCTAGTTGCGAACTCAACAAAGTAAATGTTATGACTGATTTATTGAAATCGATGAGTTTTAATACGTGGACAAATTATATTTATCTTTTTAAATATACATATTATGGATAAATAAGAAATGTTACTTTGAACTTTTTTTTTTATTTTCATCACGAAATACCTTGATGATATTCTTCAAAATGCAAAGACAGCAGTACAACTTTTAACAATCGTTATTTAAAGTGTTAGAAAACTGTGTGAATTTTTAAAATATTTTTTACCACAAACTTTTTATTAATGAAAAAGGACCTCAAAAGTATTGCTGTCCTCAAGACCTTGTATGAAGAGTTAAATATTCATCAATAAAACGAGTTTTTGGTAAAAAAAACTGCATTGCTGTCCTTCAGAGCTTGAACGGAGAGTTGAAATTCCATAAGTAAAAAATTGTGTGGTTGAAAACATTGAAAAAATTCAAACAGTTTCATAACACTCTGAATAGCTATTGTTAAAAGTTGGATTGTCCTCTCTGCATTCTAAGATATTCTAAGATGATTGAACCTCATCAACTACTTGTGAAGAAGAACATAATATATTTAGCCATTTTATTCGAGGACTCACTCACTCCTCGGCCAATTCGGTAATTTATTCATATTCATCAACCTGAGCAAATGGTTTTATTGGTAGAAGGAAAAAAGAACAGGACAAGGTTTAATACTGGTAGCGGATACACTTTATTTTAATCCGGTTGCAGGTAATTTGGCACAGAAACGACGAACCGATCCAGACAGGTCCAAGATTCTCCTTTGTCCACGAAGGAAATTTTTATTGCGTCGACGTCGCACCTGTGACCGTCGAGGACCAAGGACACTGGACCTGTATGGCTGAAAACCGATCCGGTCGATCATCCTGCACATCACATCTCAATGTTCTTGGTAGGAATTTTTGAAGATTTGATGCACAAAAGTAATGCTTGTTTTCTCGAACAGCAATCTCAAATATTTCAATTTTTCAAAATCAAGTATGTCATTGTTAAAAAAAAATGCCTTTTATAAAAGATTTCTTAAACATGTGCAAAAATTTATAGTTCCAAAAGCTTACAAGAGGCCAGAGTTTGTGAGTGAACTTCGAGCTTTGCTGACCGAGACCGGCACCGTATCGTTAGAATGTAAGGTCATTGGAGTACCTACGCCAGTTCTCAATTGGTTCAAAGACAACAAGGAAATTAAGGCTGGTGATGTATTCGCACTGACTGCGAACCCAGACGATCCCACATCGCTTGGGACGTACTCGTGCGTGGCAAGATCTTGCATGGGCACAGCTTATTCATCGTCCAGAGTAAGCAAATGAAAAAGAGTCCGAGATGTGTGAACATTTTAGATATGTTGGCTTGTTTTCAGGTTCACGTTGTTGGTAAGGGAAGTAGAGAAGGATCCTTGAAGCCAGCCGACACCCTAATCGTAACAGGAGAGCCGCCTATTTTCACTACACTTTTAAAGGACGAGTCTTGTCGAATCGGAGAAAGTATACTATTGTCCTGTCGAGGTGGGAATTCGTCAGAAATTCAAATTTTCACTTTTCTAATGAAAAAATCTCACAAGTCAAAATTATTCTTTCAGTAAAAGTACCACCATGGCCAAAAGAAATCACATGGTACAACAAAGAAGGTCGAGTGGAAGCTGGGGAGCGTTACAAAATCATAGAAGATGGACTTGGGGGTTATTCAATACAAGTAAATCCAGTAGAAGCCGTTGACGAAGGAGAGTGGAAATGTGTCGCCACAAGCGCAGACAACGTTAAACAACTCACCACTTGTTTCGTTGCTATGTCCAGTAAGATGAAAAAAAAGCTATTTTACATTTTTTCATTTGATGAAAAATTAATGGCATAAATGTACTTATTGACAGTTCCAAAGAACTATAGAAAGCCTCGTTTTATGGAGAGTTTAAAAGCAGTATTGACGGACGAAGGTCTTGTATCGTTTGAGTGTAAAGTTGTTGGCTTTCCAACGCCTCTATTGAGATGGTTCAAAGATGGACAAGAACTCAAACCAGGAGATGTTTACCAACTTACCGGAACAAATTCGTTAGGTAACGATCATTTACTATACTAATTAGGTTTAGCAAAAGATAATGCCAAGAATCTGAATTTAATCTTTAGGATCCTACTGCTGTGTTGCATCTAGTTGCATGGGTGAAGCCAGAAGTACGGCAGAATTGACAGTGGAAGATATTCAAAATCAACTTAATGAAGAAGAACGACTTCAGCTTTTGACAACCAATCAGCCGCCGAAATTCATAAAAGGTTTAAGAAGTACTGAAGCTAAAATCAGTGAAAACTTTAGATTTTCAGTACAAGGTAAATTATTTATATGCTGTCTTTTTAGTAAGTGGTCACCTTTACGTGATCGAATAGTGAATTGAAATTATGATTTGTAGTTAGCGTAATGCCAGAACCAATATTGGCTTGGTATCGTGACGATCATCCAGTAGAAAAAGAAGAAAAATATCGAGTTGAAAAAGAAACTCTCGGCATATGTCATTTAGAAATAAAGAGACTTGAGTTTTGTGACCAGGCCGAGTGGAAGTGCGTTGCTAGCAATGATTTCGGTCAAAGTGTAACTTCGTGCTTTCTAAAACTTATCATTCCAAAGCACTATAAGAAACCCGTATTTTTGGAAAACTTGCGTGCTATTCTGTCCGAAGGAGGTGCTGTTAATCTCGAGTGCAAAGTCATTGGTGTACCACAGCCTGTACTCAAGTGGTACAAAGATGGTAAAGAACTTAAACCTGGTGATATACATAGGATAACTTCAGGCCAGGATGGAACTTGTTGTTTGGGCACCTACACTGTAGAGGTGAATCATCAAAACAATAAAATAATATAACATAAATAATTAACTTATATAACATATTTCTTACTCAGGCGAGTAGTTGCATGGGATCTGTAAGCAGTTCAGCATCTCTTTTAGGCTTTGAAGGTAAAGGAAATTAAATGTAATTGTGAGAAAGTTTAAGAATGAAATTTAATTAAAAATTTTCTTAAAATTTTTAAAAAAATTTGTAATTTCGTGGGACTTAATTTACAACTAATGACGCCCAACCGTCCGTCGTTATCATTTTATCTTGATTCGCGTGATTTGCGGTTACCTTTTCGTTTATCAATAAAGTCGATTTATTTTATTTATGAAAATAAAATAAAATTGATACTTGCTTATTACAGATCGTGTTTCTTCAGCATCGACATTACCAATGACATCAAAAATAGATCGCGAACGTGAATTGGCACGACACTTTTCATTATCTACTATACACGAAGAAAGAACATCACAGCTTTTGGATACTGCGCAAACTGATCATTCCATGACTGTTGACGATAAAGGCGATGTTTCATTTAGTTTTGATGGAAAAGAGATTTCAGTGAGTCTTTATGAAACACCTGATCTTACAGAAGAAGATGCGTTAAAAATAGTAGAAATGTATGCAGACCAGCTCTCAGAAAACGTTACAGGTTACCCATTCATTTTATTACAGTTTTTTTCAGCATAATTTACATTCAGTACCGCTTAAATATTATAAAATTCTTCTTAAGAATTTGTAACTATTTTATAAATCGAATGGATTGAAAACATAGTTAATATTGTAACTTATTACAGAACAAAACGTCGTAGAACTACCACCTATGCGTTTTGTCAAGGAATCTTCAACCTCTGGTAACTTACTCATGGAAGCAGTAGTTATCGATGTATCGCCAGATTATTTCGTTAGCCTTGAAGAAGGTGACGACTTACGCACTGAAGCCGATTTAGAAGATCTGTCTATCATAGATGGTGTATCTCTTTCTTCACCACCGCTAACAGAATCATTTGATGAAGGAAAATCACCGCAAAAACCTCCTCGAAGAAAATCTGGAAGTATTTCTTCGAAGGTACTTGAACACGAATCAGAAAGTTATCACAGTGCGAGAGGACCAACTTTAAGTAAGAAAAAAGATGGATTTGATTTTGAAATAGACATGGATAGCGAGGCATTTGCAGATGCTCTTTCTTCGGTTCACACAAAAGCAGAAAGTTCCATGCAAGCTGACAACAAGCGAAAAGAAACTAAAAAAAGAAGTATGAGTAAAGATTTAAGTCTAGATATTGACGATCCATTATTAGACTCGGTTACTGGCATGGTGAAAAAGGAACGGCAAAGAGAAGAGTCTAAAAAAAAACGAAAAATAGGCGAAACAAGTAGTTTTGAAGAATCTTTAATGGGTGGTGAAGATGAAATTAAACATAAAAAATCTTTAGAAACGAAAGTATCTTTCGAAAATGAGGAGGAAAGACCTTCTTCAAGATCGAATAAAGAACGATTAGTTGAGTTACTGAGGCAAATTTCTGACCCTGTTTTAGTGATTCGGGAAGCTTTGATAGATTCAGATTATCTTTCCGAAGATGAAGAATTTATTAATGCATTTTTAACGAATAATGTTGTAATTCCAGTACAAAATCTATGTGAAATAGTTGCTGACATTGAAACGAAAGCTTTGAAAAATGCGGGTGACAGATCGCTTGTTCAAACTATGCGAATATCGTTATTAGAAACCATTGGAGGTCCCACTGAAGAACTTTTGAGAGGACTGGAATTAATCAAGCGCCAAGATAACATTCAAACTAACTTATCAATCATGGAGTCGTTAATCGATCCTGTTGATGAAATTTTTTTTGGCCTATCAAAGTTTGAATATGAATTATCTGGTCGCAATGTTAGCGTAAGTCCTGTAATACTTGAACGAACGATTCAAATTACCGACCAACTTGGATCAAATCTCGAAAAAGTAAATGCAGCTGCTAGAAATGAGATAATATCAGCTTTACAAATTATTCATAATGTATTGAAAGCGTATTTAAGCAGTATTACATTAAACCAGGTATTTTTTGTACAATAATAGTGTATTAATTTAACAATTAATTAGTATATACGTTGCCATAATGATGTTTTAATTTCATACGTCTTTATTATTGATAATTTTTACTCCAGATTTAAAGTAAATAATGACTTTATTTTTAGTTTGGTGGATGGACAGAAAATATAGATGCTGTACTTGTAGAATCTTTGTCACGACCATTAGAAGATCTTGAACGGTCATCGAAATGTATGCTTCAAAATAATTCATCTGAAGAAACATATAAAGAAGTAGATCAAATGTCATACGCGTTTAATGAAATACTTTCAAGATTAGATGCACTTGTAGTTGCGCTTGAAGGATATGAAAGTGATTACAGAACAGCTTTTGTTGTCAATTTAAAGACGTCTTTAGTTGCTGCTGCAGAACAACTTTCGAAATCAAAATTGGAAACAAATGAAGATTTTGATAAAAATGCTAATTTACCAGAAATAATCCTGGATCCTCTTATTGATGTTCAATCCTCAGTAAACGCTGTTTTAGGTAAAATAGAAAGAATTGATCAAGAAAAAGCATCTCCAATTCTTCAATCTGAATTAGCTTTGAGTTTAGCAGAATTGAGGAATGCAGTGTCATTTGCTGTTCATAAAACAACAACATTGAAAAAAGATGAAACCATTAATGCACTGATTAATTTAAAAGAGCCTTTAATAGACTTGCAGTTATCACTTACGATGGATCCAGTACCAGAAGAATTAAATATAATTAAAGATTTAATATTGCCTCTTGATTCACTCGAGAATGTTGTCCAAACTGTTATTCACAATGCTCAAACATTTGAATCGATTAATAAGATTTCAGATGCGATACAACCAATTCATACAATTATTAAGGAATTAAAACAACATATTCCAATGATAATAGGTACTCTTGAAGATAAAAGTGGAATAAATATTCAAGAAGTCAAAAGTTTTGATGAAGAACGAAGTATGCAACAGGTTGTTAATAGTTTACGAATGGCATCAGAGTTAAGTACGGTGCATTTCGAATTAGCTACAATAATGGACAAGTGTGAAAAAACTATTGGAAATATTGAATCATCTCGTATATTTCAAACGGTTAGTGATTTAAGACAAATCATTGGCAATACAGCTATTTCTACAGACAAAATTTCAATGACCTCCTACCCAAAAATAGAAAGTCTGGTTAATGAATTATCAAGTTTGAAAGAACCACTATTAAAATTCGAAGATGCTTTGATAACTGAAGATAGTACGTTACAAGAACAAAAAATAGCCATTGAAGTAATTCAACCAATTGAAAGGTGAAAACATTACTTTTTATGACGTATATTTATTGATTAAAAAAATGTTTTTTTAAATAAATTTTTTCCAGGCTTAAAGCAGTAATGGTAAATTTTGCAGATGAAATCATTCAAACTGAAGAAATTCATTCTATAATTGATGTAATTGATGGTTTGAAAAAAGATATTGTTCTGCACACGAGACCTTCAACGAAAACCGCTGTCGAAGAAGAATATAGCATAATATCTGAAAGTTATTCATCTGCAGATTTTGACCACAGAAACTTGTTAGAGAAAGCTGAATTACAAAGTATAAAAAATCAAGACGAACTCGATGAAGGATCATTAGAAATTTCAGACTTTTCATTTATAGAAAGAGGTTTAAAAAATTCATCGAACAAAATTGCTCCAAAAGATGAAAATAGTTTTAGTAATGAGCCAAATATAGTCGATCGAATCTTTATTGGTGAGAATGCAGGCAGAGTATTTGAAGTTCATGACGAAGTACATAAAAGATCGGACAAAATTTCAGATAAACATGTAATTTATCCAAAAGAAGAATTCGCCCTCATTATCTCCCAATCTTTGCAAGAAATTCAGCAAGACATATCAGAAATTCTAGATGAATTTGAGCAAGAGTTTACATCTCATCCCGTGTCTCGTTTAGCTGAAGCTCTTGAAAATCTGCGCAGAACTATATTAGTTGTTCGTTCAAATATTTCTCACATGACTATAGAAACATCAGATGAAAAATCTGAATCATCTCATGCTGAATCTTGTGAAGGGGCGGAAAAAATATCACTATCTCTAAAAGAACTATTGCAACCAATTTTAGAAGTTCGTGAAGCATTATCTCAAACTCAGGATCATGGAGCACCAGAAGTACTTTTGTTAAATCGGCTGGATCAACCAATACGAGCTATTGAATTTAATGTTTTGCAACTAGCATTGGAAGCACATTCGTACACAGTAGAAAGTGAAGAAACATCAAGTCGTGTAAGTTTAGATGCTATGGCACGAGTACTTGAAGATATAGAATTTCAGATTCCTCTTGCACTTGATGAAGTTAGCTCTAGACAAGAAATACTTAGTACATTACGTAATATTTTTAAACCACTCGATATTATCAATGAAAAAATGCATGAAATACCTCTCGATACGGCCGTTGAAGATAATTTAGAAATAGATATAGCCAATGTTTTGATTACACCAATTGGCGAATTTCGTGATTCTTTGAATGAGTTGTACAATCGTATAGAAACTGCAGATTATCACGATGAAAGTAATAAAAACACTGTTTCAATTTTAAAATATTTGATTGAACCTCTGGTTGAATTACAAAGTTCTCTGTCCGTGGTAAAAAGTTGTAGAAAAACATCTATTTCTGATACTGGCTTGCTGGATGAAAGAAAAAATGTTATGATGCGAGCTGTGGAAGAAGTAAGATTTGGTATCAGCAAAATACGCAATGAAATTAATAATACTGAAAACATGAGTATATTGAAAAACTTTATTACAACATCGGTTGATGCATTAGATTCTGCTATAGTTTCATTTCAAAATCAAATAAGGTAATCAAAGCACTTATAAAAATATTGATCTCATATTTTATTAAGTTTTAATTGTATATTATTTTACAGCAAAGCTAATTATCAACGTCGACAAAGTTGTTTAGAAACTTTACAACAAAGGTCTATTATACCTTTGCAGAAACTTGGAGAAAAAATTACTATTATTAAGGAGAAAATGGATAAACCATCATTAGATACTATTTTACAACCCTTAGAAACTTTATCAAAACAGATTCAATTGGCTCAAATTCAATTTTCACAATCTTCAGATCAACCTTTAGATGAAGAAGCAATTATTGAAGGATTTTTATATCCTGCAAAACATTTACTTTCATCCTTGGAATCAGTAAAGCAAGATTTAAGTTTAAATTTAAAAGAAGATTCTGTAAGTCTTTTACAAGAATTAGGGGAATGTACTTCAAATTTGGCTTCAACATTTTTAAAACTTCAAAATGAGCTGACGATAGAGGGAGCCAACGAAAAATTTTCTGTCATTGAAACTTTATCTGCAGTCACAGTACCTCTTAATAGTATAAAGCAAACTATAACTGAAATTTCAAAAAACTATGAAGATGCTTCTGTTTCATCGCGTTCCCAAACTGTAGAACAAATTATTATTGGTGATGAAAAAAGTTTAATTGATTCTAAAACTGAAAAGCCACAAGAAGATAAAAAAAAGGAATTAGTCGGTAAACTTCCTACAATTTTGACAACAGTTGAAACTATAGTTGATGAATTTATTGAAGTATCAAAGCAAGAAACTGAAAGTTTGACTACTTTAAAGTTTGCTACTGAAGAGACGATTTCAGAAAATGAAAAGGAATCATGTAGTTTAATTGATTTAGAACATAAAAAATTAGAGGAGTCACCATTAAAAAGTATTGTACACACAGAAGGTGCAGCAAATAAGTCAGTAGAAAAAGATTCTGTGAATATTATTGAATCTTTAGGAGAGATTCCTGATAGGCGACATAGTATTACAGCTTCATGGTCCATGATAATTGAACCTTTGAATAACTTACAGCAGTCAATTTTAACAATCATAGAAACTCCTACAGAAATTAGTATTAGAGAACCAAGTGCTGCTCAGAATCAAGTTATCATGCAACGTTTAACTGATTTGTATTCTTCAATTGCAGCCATGCAGCAAATTGTCAGTGATAATTCTGAACAAATAACTCTTACGTCTTGGCAAGAAAAAAGTTTACCCGCTATGAAAAATTTAGCTGTTGCCTTAGAAAAATTAGGAGAGCATCTACCGATACTTGCAGATCAGAACATGGAAAAAGAAGAAATTGCATTACAAACAAGTGAAATGATTTATAGTAGTGATGTCAGCACCGCTCTAAAAACATTGATTGCACCACTTCATGACTTAAGAGAACATTTAGGACTGATAGTTCAAGAGCAAGTACCGTGTGATTTGGAAATTTCGGAGATAGATCTAGAGACAATAAAAACAAGAAAGGCCATTGAAAGTGTTGAAGAAATAACATACTTTATTCCACATATGGATGAACAACCCATCGGAAGCGTTTTAAATTTAGCTGAGTTGCAAAGTGACCATCTTATTTCAAGTGAACAGGATATAAAGTCAGTGCTTTCAAAATATGAAAAAGTCAAAGTTACCAATGAATCATGCCACGAATTAGTCGTTGAAAAAATAGTATCCCAAGAAGGTTCTGAAGAGTCTGATATGCAAGCTATGGTTGAAAATATAGAAGAGGTGGCAGCCATAAGGACAGTTAAAGAAAAGTCCTTAGAGTTACCAACTAAACATGTTACAACTGATGAGTTGTCTGAAAAAGTACATGACTCTACTTATCAAGCAAAAAGTGCAGAGTGCGTTAGGAGTATTTCTGCTGAAAAAGTTTCTTCCCACGAAACAAACGATTCTTGCATAACAGATCAAGTGACAACTGATAAGCAAAAACTCAAGCTACACACTGCTGAGGCAGAAGATACTGAAAATATTGAAGATGTTACTGGTAATATATGTGATTTTATAAGAAGCGATCAAGCTGAATTGAAAGATTCTTGTCAAGAAAAGGTAATGTTTCAAGAACTTCAAACATTTTCAGAAATTGAAAACAATACTCACTTATCTTGTGTTAAAAAGGAATTTTTAATAAAGCAAGAATCAGGTGAAGAACGTGAAAACTTCATCGAAGTAGCTCAAAGTAAAGCAAAAGTATTATGTGTAGATGATACGAATATTAAAGACCAACAAGATGTTCCTGAAAGTAAAATTAAAAAACAAGTATCAGAAGATTTTAAAAAGAAAAAAGAATTAAGTACAAAAACAGAAGACGTAGAAAATAGTAAAGATACACAGAGCAAACTAAATATGGAATTAAAGACCGAAAACGTAACACAAGAAGAAATTAACAAAAAAAATAAAAAACCGAATAAAAACCTAGAAAAATCTGAATCCATAGAAAATCAGGAATCAGATGCAAAAGTTCAGTATCCAAGAGAAGAAACAAAAGTAGATGATGAAAAAAGGAAAGTCGAAAGCGCGTTATGGTTTGTTATTAGCGAACCACTTTATGAGTTGCAAGAAATTCTACCGTTACTTATTGAAGCACCCAAAACTCTAGAAGCACTCATAGCATTGGAAACAACTATGACTTCTTATAATACTATCAGTGAGTGTTTATTAAACTTAAAAATATCAATTGATAATGTCCGAAAAACAAAAGAAAATTCAGAACACAAAGATGAAACAGCTTTGGAAAATGACCGATTACACGCATTACAAAATCTCGGCATACTATTAGAAAACTTAGAACTACAATTACCTACATTGTCAAAAAGTTTAAAAACTAAAAAAAAAGAAACTCTTGTATTAGAAGACAAACCATTGTTAGGTGAAGTTAGCCACATGTTACAATTATTACTTGCTCCATTGCAAAAACTTAGAGATCGATTGCAATTCATAATTGAGGAACAAAACCTAAGAGACTATAAATATGTAGCAGAAATACAACCCGTAATAAAGGAAGAAAAAGAAGAATTGAGACAAAAAAAAGAAACAAAAGAGACTATACAATTAGAAGAAGAGCAAAATCTTCAGAAGGCTGAAGAAAAAAAAAATGAGAAGCAACAACAGGTAGAGGCTGAAAAAGCTAAGGCAGAACAAATAGAACGAGATAAGAAGGAAATGGAAGGAAAACTGAGACAAGAGGAAGAAACGAAAGAGGCTACACGATTGGAAGAAGAATTAAGACGTAAAAAGGCTGAAGAAGAAGAAAATGAGAAGCTACAACGGGAAGAGGCTGAAAAAGTTAAGGCAGAACAAATGAAACGTGACAAGGAAGAAATGGAAGAAAAACTTAGACAAGAAGAAGAAACGAAAGAAGCTACACGATTGGAAGAAGAATTGAGACGGAAACGGGCTGACGAAGAAGAAAATGAGAAGCGACAACAGGAGGAGGCTGAAAAAACTAAGGCAGAACAAATGAAACGTGATAAACAAGAAATGAAAGAAAAACTAAGACTAGAAGAAGAAATGAAAGAATCTACACGATTGGAAGAAGAATTGAGACGGAAACGGGCTGACGAAGAAGAAAATGAGAAGCGACAACAGGAAAAGGCTGAAATAGCTAAGGCAGAACAAATAGAACGAGATAAGAAGGAAATGGAAGGAAAACTGAGACAAGAGGAAGAAACGAAAGAAGCTGCACGATTAGAAGAAGAATTAAGACGTAAAAAAGCTGAAGAAGAAGAAAATGAGAAGCTACAACGGGAAGAGGCTGAAAAAGTTAAGGCAGAACAAATAGAACGTGATAAGAAGGAAATGGAAGGAAAACTGAGACAAGAGGAAGAAACGAAAGAAGCTACACGATTAGAAGAAGAATTAAGACGTAAAAAAGCTGAAGAAGAAGAAAATGAGAAGCGACAACAGGAAGAGGCTGAAAAAGCTAAGGCAGAACAAATAGAACGTGATAAGAAGGAAATGGAAGAAAAACGAAGACTAGAAGAAGAAACGAAAGAGGCTACACGATTGGAAGAAGAATTTAGACGCAAACGGGCTGAAGAAGAAGAAAATGAGAAGCGACAACAGGAGGAGGCTGAAAAAGCTAAGGCAGAACAAATAGAACGTGATAAGAAGGAAATGGAAGAAAAACGAAGACTAGAAGAAGAAACGAAAGAGGCTACACGATTGGAAGAAGAATTTAGACGCAAACGGGCTGAAGAAGAAGAAAATAAGAAGCGACAACAGGAAGAGGCTGAAAAAGCTAAGGCAGAACAAATAGAACGTGATAAGAAGGAAATGGATGAAAAACTGAGACAAGAAGAAGAAACGAAAGAAGCTACACGATTGGAAGAAGAATTAAGACGCAAACGGGCTGAGGAAGAAGAAAATGAGAGGCGACAACAGGAAGAGGCTGAAAAAGTTAAGGCAGAACAAATGAAACGTGACAAGGAAGAAATGGAAGAAAAACTAAGACAAGAAAAAGAAACGAAAGAAGTTTCACGATTGGAAGAAGAATTAAGACGTAAACGCGCTGAGGAAGAAGAAAATGAGAAGCGACAACAGGAAGAGGCTGAAAAAGCTAAGGCAGAACAAATAGAACGTGATAAGAAGGAAATGGATGAAAAACTGAGACAAGAAGAAGAAACGAAAGAAGCTACACGATTGGAAGAAAAATTAAGACGTAAATGGGCTGAAGAAGAAGAAAATGAGAAGCGACAACAGGAGGAGGCTGAAAAAGCTAAAGCAGCACAAATGGAATTTGATAAGAAGGAAATGGAAGAAAAACTAAGACTAGAAGAAGATACGAAAGAGGCTACACGATTGGAAGAAGAATTAAGACGTAAACGGGCTGAGGAAGAAGAAAATGAGAAGCGAAAACAGGAGGAGGCTGAAAAAGCTAAAGCAGCACAAATAGAACGTGATAAGAAGGAAATGGAAGAAAAACTAAGACAAGTGGAAGAAACGAAAAAAGCTACACGATTAGAAGAAGAATTGAAACGTAAAAAGGCTGAAGAAGAAGAAAATGAAAAGCGACAACAGGAAGAGGCTGAAAAAGCTAAGGCAAAACAAATGGAACGTGATAAGAAGGAAATAAACGAAAAACTGAGACAAGAAGAAGAAAAGAAGGAAGCTATACGGTTAGAAGAAGAGCTGAAACTTAAGAAGGCTCAAGAAAAAGAAAATAAAATTCGAAAACAGACGGAAGTTAAAAAAGTTAAAAATGTACTAGCGGAACATGATATGACGGAAAAGGAAGAAAATATGAGGCTAGAAGAAAAGGAAGAGAAGGAGGCTGTAAAATTAGAAAATGACATAAAACATAAGAAGGCTGAAGAAGACAAATTAAAAGTAGAAGATAAAAAGCCACAACAGAAGGAGGCTGAAAAAACTCAAGTAGATGAAGTAGAAGGTATGATAAAAGATGAAGCCGTTAGCGAAGAAATTAGTGCAGAAACTAAATATATCAAGAAAGATACGCAACGTTTGAAGGAGGAAACAGTTAATATTACTATGGATCAACATACGAAGACACGTGAACAGGAGGTATGTGATCGGAGGAAAAAGGCAATTATAACTGAAGAAGTAGTAAGTGGTAAGAGAAGTAGTAGAGAAGAAAGTAATTTGAAGGAGTATGTAATTAGTGAAGAAAATCAAAAAGATAAATGGACAAAAAATGAAAGCACTTTAGAAGGTACAAGACGCATTAGAAACGGTGTAGATGTTGCAAGAGCTGTGGAAGAAACAACAAATATAAGTAAATTTACAGCAACGGGTGGTAGTAAAATGGTTAGAAGTACAGAATATTTAAGTTATGATAGATATACGATTGAGTCTTCACCTAAAACTAGAACTTTCGAAAATCTTTATCAATACACAAATGAAGATTCTTTGCCTTGTAAATCTAGATTTGAAGCTTTAAAAAGTGATTATCACCGGGAAATGAAGTTTAATGTTGATAGTAATTCGTCGAATAAGAGATCCGTAACTTGTCTTGAATCAAAAAGAGGTGAAGATCAAATTAAGGAAAGTAAAATGATTTTACTTAATGATCGGTCAAGTCCTACTTTACGGGATGAAGTAAAAAAGATAGATTTTCATTACAAAAGAAATAAAAATCTTCTCTCAAACTGTGCAAAATTTAATTTTTACTCATCTTACGATGGACCTACCATTAGACGAGTTGGAAGTCCGATAAGTTTTGATTACAAGAAATCATCACTTTGTGATTTGTCTCGTTTAAAACATGACGTATTAGATACGCATCGACTATACCCTAACAGAAAAAATACATTTTTATCAAAATCAAGAGAGGACTTGCCACGTTCAGATAAGACTTTGCGATCTTCATATCCTTCTTTATTCAGTGGTACGAGTATTCTAGATTTAACGACAGCAGGGAGAATATCGTATGGTTTTGATTTTTCTAAAAAGTATAGAGCTTACTCGAATTCTTTCTTACAATATGAATTAGAACCTAAAAAAAAGTCGTATTATGGGTCACACGATAACATAAAAAAGGAATTTGAACGCCCAACATACACACCTAAATCATTTAATAGTAACGACTATTCTTTATCGGTATCAGAGAGTCTAGCACTTAGTCGATCTCGTAGAAGGTTTGAATCAAGAAATCCTACAATAATTTACGAAGGAAAAGCTGAAACAAAATCTTCAAAAACTAGATTACCAGATGTAAGTGTAAATGTTTTGGAATGTACTCGTCAGCTATAACTTGATGTTTGATATTGATGACTATTATACTTGATCATTATTGATATAAATATATAAAAAATCAGATTTATGCTCGTCTATACTAAAAATTAACTTTTATTGTACTATTTTAGAGAATGAAAGGTCCAACTTTTTGTACAAAATTGACCAACTGCACGGTAGCTGAGGGCTCTCACATAAGGCTGATGTGTACAGTTATTGGACAACCAGAACCACAGGTACACTGGACAAAGAATGGAGATCGCATTCGACCTGGTGGACGTGAACGCGTAAAATATGAAAACGGCATTGCTACATTGGAGATTATTTCTGCTGAGTTAGAAGATGCTGGTTATTATACCTGCGTTGCTACTGATAAAAATTCTTATGGACAATCTACAACTGAAGCTACTGTACGAATTTATTCAACTTTCGAATACTCTCCCTTAAGGCCTACGTTTACATCTGCTTTAAGAGGTATTTACATTAAGTAATACGTTATTGTGAGAAAAAAAAATTAAATTTATTTGAGTGTATGAAGCCTTACTAAATTGTTTTAACTCTCACAAATTATCATAAGTTTAAATAAAGATATAGTGAGTGTCCATTGATCATGATTCTTATTTATAGATAAATATCGATTGTCTGATAAAGAGTTAATCCTTGAAACTCGCGTACGTGGCCAGCCAACTCCTTCAGTTTCATGGCTTAAAGATGAACGACCACTTAAAGGTGGCCGTTACAGACAATCTATTCAAGATGATGGCTTTTGCCGCTTACACATATCAAATCCTGATGTATCAGATAGTGGACAATATGTTTGTAAAGCAAGTAATGATAAAAATGCTGATAAAATTCATCACATGGTTCACTTTGATGGTAACTATTTGTCTTTTGCTGATAAATGCAAATACTTGTTTTTAATTTTGTATTAAAGAAATTTTTTCCAGATTTCAAAAATAAACGTGTCAGAAGAGAACACAAAGATTATGTATTTGATAAACGTATTCATGATTTGAGAAAAGGAAGAGAAAAATTGCCAAAAATATCAACTTCTTTATCTGATTATAAAGTGCCTGCTGGAGGAACAATAGCTCTTCAGGTTGAAATAAAAGGTAAATGAGAAATTGTAAAAAAATTAAGTTAGATTATTGAACATGCACGTATTTCAAATATGTTTGAAACTCTCAGATACATCAACACCGAATGTAACGTGGCTCCGTGACAGAGGAGAAAGAAAAGAAATAATCACAAGTCCCAAAATTCGTACTTACGCCGAATCTGGAGTTTATACGCTCGTTGTTCCCGAAGCTACAGAAGGGGAGGCCGGTACTTACATTGCACGCGTGAGCAATGCGTATGGTCATGTTGATACAAGTGCAACTGTTGAAGTTATACCGTTAAGTAAATTTGATGATCTTGGAAAACCAGCTATGTTTATTTCGAGACCCGTTGAAAAGGTGATGTACGTAACAAGTGGAGAGCCCGTATCCATATCGTTTAGAATGAGTGGTACTCCAAGGCCTAGAGGTAATATTTTTTAATGCTCTTTGAACATTGAAAAATTTTATTATCTATAATACATTTATACGATTTTTTGAAAATAGTTGTATGGATGAAGGGTATAAGAGACATAACGGATGGACCACGATCTCACAAAGAAATAATAGATGACTACGTAAGACTGACCCTAAACAGGGTAAATTCGGATGACGAGGGAACATACTGCATACTTGTAAAAAACATCTATGGCTGTGACAGATTATTTTTCACATTAAAGGTATTATTTAGTAATTTCAATAAAAAATAATGTAGAATAAAATTTTCGTGATACAATTAGCAATCATAGTTTAGTGTTGTACACAGATTTATATTAAATTTTTTTTTAAAACGTGTCATGATATTAAAATCATATAGTTATCCCATGTAGTTTATAAAATATTATTTTTACTTTCTGATTAGATTAAACAACGAGCAAGATCCTTAACGCCTACCGCAGAAAGGCTAAGTCTGTCGGATCGCTTATCTGATATACATATCAAGGAACAGGAATCTTATTTAAGAGGTGAGTAATCAGACGTTACAATGACCCTTAAGAATCATTTTTGAAATGCTAAAATTATCATCGTAAAATTTTCATTTTCCATTGATCGTATATTTATTTTATGTATCACCGACCAATAGATCATGCAAAGAAAAGCTATTAGAACTGTTGTATCGAAAAACTTCAGTTGCATAAGAGGTTAAAATAACTAAAAATTATTGTCCTAACTACCCACGCACTTATTTTACGGCAACTTCTCTTGGCGAGAGCTATTTTCGTACGATCTCTTTCCCCACTAGCAACTTGTCAAGAGAGGTGCGACCGAGCAATTTCAAAATTTAGTTCGTAGCGCGCGCTCCAAATTCTCGCACGGATTTTCTATCATCTACACATATGTACGCGCTTTAAAAGTGTTTGAATATAATTGTAAGCTCAAGGATTAATTATTTGCTCGTCAGCGGTACTATTTTCAATTACTTGTTAATTATCAAGTGATGATTTAAACAACCATGAATTATGGTACGTGTGATTTTGCTGATGATCAGCGACTGCTCGAGTCAAAGAAACAATTATTAAGAAGGTTAAGATTATCGTGGCACAACAGAAATTATTCAGATTCAAACTTGTTTTCATACCAAGGTATCGAACAAATTTATATTTTGCTTGCAACACTCTTTCAAAAATATGATTTTCTAGCACTTGGTAGCTATTTTTAAAACGCTCTTTATATTTTACAAGCAGTTGTGAAAGTTGTGAACACGACGAGCCCCATGTTTTACAAGTTTTTAATATGATGTATTTTTTATGATTAATCAATTAAAAGATTTTATTATGACAATCTCTCATTTCTCTGAAGACATATAGGGTACGGATATTGGATTTTAATACCTGAAAAAAAGTAAAGCACTTTTTGGATTAATTTGTTGTTGTTCATCCAGATGTTCCAGGACCAATAAGTACCGAACCCATTGTTACTGATGGTGGGAGAAATTGGCTATCCCTGAGCTGGGGAAAAGCAGATCAACGTGGACCTGCCCCGGTTATTGCATACCGAGTTGACGCTTGGCAGCTGGGAGGAGACGGAGGAGCACGATGGGTTGAGGTTGAAAAACATAATATCTAATTTACACACAAACGCTTACTGCTACAGCAATTAACATCATTATTTAGAATGGCTAATTTCATACGTATCATACGTATATGTCACCGCTAAATATTTCGTGTTAACTGTAAGGTATACTAAAAGATGGAGTCACGCTTGTTTACTGAAAAAAAAAAAAATAATAATAATAATAAAAAATACTGTATATATTTAATTAGTTTTAAGACGATCTAACATTAGTAATTAAATAATTGAAAAATCAAATAAATATATTTTATGTTTCAATGCGTCTTTTTTTCTTCACACAGACATTCCTTGATCTGTAAATTTCGTCAGAATAAAATTAACCTAAACTTTTAAGCTTCACTCATTCAACATTCATTTCCACTGCTAAGCGACAAATTCTGCTTTTTACGCTTCCTGGCGAAGACGAGAAAATTATCATCAAAGTTCAAGTTGATGAAGAACAATGTGTTTCTGTTGAAAATAGCTTGGTATTTCGCCAATAAACTCATTCGATGCTTTCAACCTCCGACCCGGCGGTGAATACAAGTTCCGGGTAACCCCGAGGAATCGTTACGGATGGGGCGAGTCAGTGACGATGAAAGGTTCAGCGACGGTGAGCGACAACGTCGAGATTCCTGAATTCGTGAGAATCCTTCCTGGACAACTGAAAGCACTCGCCGGCACAACAGTCAATTTAGAATGCGAAGTGAGCTCACAATACAAACACTGACGTTTTTTGTTCGTTTGGCTTGCTTCTCATCATCCATCGCAGTGAAATATTTTTACGTTGGCTTACTTTTTTTTCAACCCTGCCATGAATCAAACTCATCAAACATAAAAAAAGCTGCTAATATAACGTGAATGAGAAAATTTTAAAAAATGCATTTTATGAATTCCTTTGAGTCAGGTTCGAAGTGATTCGAAATTCGACGTTAAATGGCTGCGAGAGGCAACGGTGATCGATTCGAGCTTAGATTCTAAATATGTGATTAAAAACGAAAAATCGAGGTGTTCGCTAGTTCTGGAAAATGTAAGCGATGTTGATACCGGTAGGTATATTTGCCAAGTATCAAACAAAGCTGGGCAAGTTTCATCCTACGGCCGAGTACTGGTGGTTTGTGATCCAAAAATTTTGAGCGCAGACGAGCGCCTCAAGAAAAGGTACTTACTACAATCGTAAAGAATTTAATCATATACACCTGAAACTGGAACTATTTTTTATATTTTCACCAAAAAAGATTCTTCGACGGGCTGTTGGAAGATGGACCACCGTGTTTCACGATGAGACTTCGCGACAGAAGAGTTCAAACTTCGTATCCCGTGAGACTGACGTGCCAAGTTCACGGATATCCTGCGCCTGAAATTTCTTGGTTCAAAGATGGAATGGAAATTCACGAAAGTTGTAAGTTGTTTATCAATGCACCCATGATAAAATTGTACCAACGTAGAGAAATTTAAAAAAGACTATAACTGTAACATTTTCGATTGGAATACAATAGTTGCTCCTCTGAACTATATTATAAAAAATGTGGATTGTGAACTGCATCCTGTTTCCATTGCTTCCATAAGCCAAAGAAAAGTTGTCCGTAAAATTTCAGCCACGCGTTCAATGTACAACGACGAGTCGCATTTCCATACGCTCGAAATTACCCGGTCGAGCTTGGAGGATTCCGGGACCTACGAGGTATGCGCTAAAAATGCAAACGGCTCGGTGTCCTGTCGGTGCATGCTCGTAGTTGACAAGGGCATTAGAGCTTACATAGCCCCCGAATTCCTCTATGGTCTGGATATCGCGTACGCCGTCAAAGTTGGTGGCGAATTGAGATTAACGGCACAGATCGAGGCCTACCCCAGCGTTGGAGTTGCATGGTAATTGGCATCATAATCATCCGATGAAAAGTAGCTGCTTGGATGTATTCTCTTTTTCCAAAAAATCGATGTATGGATTTCGTTTATGGATTGTATTGTATTTAGGCATCGAGATGGGATCCGGTTGAGACCGAGCAGGCGTGCCGCGATGTCGTTGAGCCACGACGGTACGGTTGAGTTAGTCCTGGCCAAAATCACAGCCAGAGATGCAGGTGTTTACACGGTGGTCGCCTCTAACGAGGTCGGCAAGGCCGAGACGTCCACCACAGTGTCCATCGTTGGGTCTGACGATGGGCCAAACGCTTCGGACCAGCCCCAAGTCTTGGTCAATCCACCGGATACAGATGTTCCGTAAGTTGAATTTTGTGAGGTATGCAGCCTCAACGTCATAGTAGTTTTAATGCATCTAACCATTACAAAGTTTCGCTCTAATAACAGTAGTATGAAATTCTCTCACGTGATTATGTATTTATTCCATACAAAATTTGCCATAAAATTAATGACCCGTGGCAAATGGGTATTATTACGCACACGAGATTATACACATATATTGTAAAGCGCGAGTTTTCATTTTCGAAGCGTACAATTACTTTTGTGACAGTAGTTCGTGTAATCATTGACTTTTGAAAAGCTCATTCAATGGATCGCGCGCTAGTAGCCCTCACAGCGATTTTCTCGGCCTTTCACAGCGGTGCAGCGCCGCGTAATTGATTCATTACTTCGCAATCGACATAATTTATCGATCAACTCCACAGCCGCGCGATTTACATTGCAAATTATTACGAGCACAAGACCAGAACCTGCTTTGGACACTCCTTTAAAAACAAACTCCCGGTTTCTAATAAAAAAAAAAAAAAAAAAAAAAAAAAAATAACAATAAAAAAAGAGTTATTTTCACCACTTTCACAGTTACTCGAAGGCACCGCTTTTCGTGACGAAGCCCTTGTCGACGGAGGCCCAGGAGGGCGACACCGTGATCATCCAGTGCGAGGTTGTGGGCGACCCGAAACCCGAAGTCGCCTGGCTGCGCGATTTTCTGAAGGTCAGTGATCCTATCTTTCTCGTCTTTGTAAATTACAGCTCATTACGCGACAGCGTCTACATGTGTATACGCATGTACACGCGTTGAGACGTTTTTGCTTAAGGAGTCGATGTACACGTGAGGCAAGACGTTGCAGAAAGTACCTTGCAAACGGCCTTGCCAATTTTGGAAATAACACGGACTCTTGGCAAACGATCTCGAGACCGTCTAATGACGTTCAATTTGTTTATCTAATACCACTTGATGTGAGTGTATGGGGGCAATTTCGTGTTTTAAATGGACTACTTCACTTTTTTGATGAGATGATTAGTGTTTTTGCCAAAAAAGTATGGATTGTTCAAGTGATAATTAGTGTACTTGCACGTCTTGTTTGAAAGTATCTAATGTATATTATGATATTTTTCATTGCGAGTTTATACAATTTTTCAACCATTAATACAGTTTAACTATTAATGGATTGTTCAAGTGATAATTAGTGTACTTGCACGTCTTGTTTGAAAGTATCTAATGTATATTATGATATTTTTCATTGCGAGTTTATACAATTTTTCAACCATTAATACAGTTTAACTATTAATATATTGATATTAATACATAATTGAAACACCAATACGTAATATAGGAAGAAATAATGACAAATAAATTTTTTTTTAATATTACGAATTATTAAATTATTTTAATAACCTTCTTATAAAACCACTTTTCTTCTTCGCGTGTGTGTGTGTTTTATAGAAACATTGTAAACTATGTACACCAGCTATTAAAAGTACATTTATAGCAATATTTGATTTATTTTCTTGAAATATCGGTGAAAAAAAATTATGTCAAAAATTGAAGACCATAACAAGACAAGAGAAGATTACGCATGGCAAGATAATGTTTATATCTTTGAAGAACAATACAATGTTGGCTTAAATCTCTAATCATCTTGACATGGGGAAACCATAACTTGAAACCCATTGGTTATTTGTAATATTTGAATGATTTTAAAATTCTGCAAAAAATCAGGCGTCAAATGGACAATTAAATATCTGCTTCTTCAAATACACCAACGCAATTTTTCACGAAAAATAGTCAATAGCAGCATGATATCATAGTTCAATGATGGCTCTTCCCAATCGCGATCGACGAATCCATCAGAGATGCAATCATCAATGAACAAAGCGAATGTCCCAAGCCAGATTTATCCGTAGGGAAATATAGTTGACAAAATTTCACCTCAAGACGTTGCAACGATATATAATATATGTGCACGGATGGCATCACGGTGAAAGCGCACGCCAACAAGTTCAGAGGACTTTTGTTGAAAACGTACCCGCATGCAGTACTCATCGCGCATCAGTGATAGAGCTTTTTGCGCAACAGAAGCGAGAATGACGTGGTCGTCTTATCGTATAGGTGCAGCGAGCGGTGACTGAAAGAAGCGAGATACGAGCGCGAGTACAGGTATATTGCGCTCGGGTCGTAGCAATTTAATGTGGGTCAAGGTGGCCCGCGCGAAAAGAAATGATATTCATTATGCCCGTATTCGGTGTATCTGGGCCCCGTTGCCCCGTTGCCATCGTCGCGCCGCTATTCATCATCTGGCCGGTAATTGCCGGAGCCGCTGTACGTGTACACTTTTATGCTCGAGCCATCGCTTTATTGGCGCGTACATTATTATGATCTTTACTTTTACCTTTTTTTNCTTCCTAAAAATGAGCAAATTTGGATTTTGTTGATATAAACGATGCTGTTTCTTTTTTTTTCTTTAATTTTCGCATACTCCCCCAACGGCCTTTTTTTGCCTCTCTTGCTTTTCGATCATCTTTCCGATACTTTCTCGCTGCTCTTCGGATACCCCCTCGTGTGTATCCCTTCCTTGGCTTTTTGCTTTTTTTTCTTCTTCGTCTTCGGACTTTGTTTGGCTGATTATTCTCATTAGCCTCCTTTTGGAGTCGGGTAGAGATGGGCAGAGTCGTAATTTGTGTTTGAAAAATGTTAATTTATTTGGTAAGAAATTTTTATTTTGGATAAAATTTTATTTTATTTTAAATCAAAGAAAAATTGTCTAGAGCAACAATAACTTTGGATTAGACATTAGCAAATACCAGAAGTATTTCAATGCTAATATTTCGAATATCTTTTGAAAAATAAAACAATTTAATATCTTTTATTTGTTTATTAATTAAATTATTTCATTTACCAACAAACTGCAAATGCGATTGCATGTGAACGAATTAAAAAAAAATTTTTTTTTTTCGAGTAATAAAACTATTATTTTAGTAACTTAATTTTTTTTTTTTTTTACTTATTTGAGATACCATATTTAAGATTATAAACTTACGAGTATTTTAATAACATTTTTTAATTAAATATTTAATTAAATACAACACACAAATCGTTTATTCTTATATTTTATTTGAATAAAACAACTAAATTTCGACATTTTTTTTTTTAACTTTTCAAGTGTTTGGAATTTCTTAAATACTATTATTCACCTCAGAAATAAATAATTTTAGTAGGTACCTGTTAGTTGATCAATCAAACGTTCAAGGGAAGGAAGTACTTTTCTCGCACGCATTTGATCTGACCGCAATTCAGGCCAATAAAAACAACTTTCTTATCTGCTCATAGGACTCGAAAATTTGTCGTTCCGGATAGATTAATACACTCGCAACGGTACTCTGTAATCTCCAAAAAACTCGTTTCAAGAAAAAAAATAAAAAAATAAAAAAAGGTAAAAAAAATTTTCCTTGAAAAAATGACGAAACCCCTCTTTGCAAACACACATCCTTTCGAAGACCCAAGGAAGAATAATGGGTTTTGCATACTTACCTTGTCGCGTCGCAGCCTCCACGTCATTGTTTGCAAAGACTGGCAAAGCCGCATACACATGCGATGGATAGAGACGCGCCAAAGGGGATCGACTCTTCGGTGTTCTCGTCGTCTGGACGGGATGCAAAAAGAAAAAAAAAGTCCTTGAACGCGCTGATGTGTTTTATTTTCACGAGGGACTTTGGGCGAAGGTGGTTTCACTTTTGTGCAATGACAATTAATGATCATGTTTTCTTTTTCTTTCCTTCAATAATTTGTCGTCAAAGTAATTGCGATTGATGGAGCAAATAAAGCACTTTTTATAGTCCACTAACGATTGAAAATTCAGTGCGTGTTGCTTTGCATCGCGTTGAAAAAAAAACAAACAAAAAAAAAAAACAAACAAAAAAAAAAAAACAAAAAAAAAACACTTGATCCCTTTTCATGATCCAGAAACTCAACGACTCCTCCAATTAGTGTTTTTCCATCCACGCCAGAGAGGGTCGAGGAAGCCTGACCAGTTCCCACCCGCGCCTGAAACCGGCCGTCTCTTAAATTTCGATTTTTTTCTTTCTTTCCTTCTCAACCGCTCGAGCAACTCGCTTTTACTCTCGCGAAACCGTGTATCTCTTTAATTACTCGAGTGACGCAAGTATTATCAAGGAGGGGGTATAATACACGACAAAATAAAATAAAAAGTAACGAAGGGGGACTATCCAACCCAGTAGCTGAATAACACGTCAGACAAGTGTTGTGTGGGCGATAGCCACATTTTTATGCGAGTACAAAGTAAAATATACTCTTTTGAGATGAAATTACCATTGATCGTAGTGACGATCAAATCACAATGTGGCGGTGCATGGCTCGTAAAGTGGGTAGGTCCGTAAATTTTTCCCCGGTCTTTCACAAGCTGCATCGATGCAAACGGTCGTGGGTGTATTTTAGGAATAAATAGCAAGACCACCGTGTGAGAACGGATGGATGACGAGTCGATGCTTTGTTGATTTTAGCCGATCGCCGAGATATCGAGTGCAATAATTGATTGAGCCCGTACCGGTTAGTGGAAAAGGAAAGCTATAGTGTCCCTGTTACTGCCACGGCTGAGTTATCGATGTTTGTGTAGGTACATTTTTACAAAAGAGGTTCATTTGCATATGTACGCGTTACTCGTGTCTATTTATACAACCAAATGGGTGGAATAAATTGGTATTCGCGTCTGATGATGTTTTCTGCAGATTAAAAAAAAAGAGAATTCGAGCGATGGTGTGTTAATGGATGCTGTCGTCGTCGAAGGAAAAATCGGCGAGGATCGTTTTGTACCTCCGCGACAACGATTTCACCCCTTATTCGGCTTAATGGTCGAAAAAACGTGTCACGCGCCCATCCACGAGTGCGCTCTGCTGCGGGTCGAAACGATATTTAAAACGATGATTTTCTCGAAGTGATGGCGAGCGAACGTTGCGTTTGGCACCTGTGAAAAGTTTGCCAATAGCTTTAAAATCGATGAAAAATCGAGACAACGTCCCTCAAATTTTATAATCGGAATTGATTACTCGTGCCAGGTTTGGGCGTGCGTAATCAGCCAGATTTTCTCACTCCCTCCATAGATGTTGGATAACTAACTAGGTTTGTTAAAAAAAAAAAAAAAATTTTAAAAAGCAAGACAACATATTTTTTACCCAAGAGCCCACTATTCAGCTCCAACCCTTTCGCTCTCGAATCCGGCCGTTATCGATCATCAAGTGCTCATTTTCTAAGCAAAAAAGAAAAAAATAGCAATCCTGTTCCGTTCATAATAAAACGCGTGGCAAAAGTGTTGGCGCGCTATCTCTTGCAGCCGATAAATCTCAATCGCGTGGTATTTGTCGCGCGAGCCTAGAAGTGAGTAAGGGAGTAGGAGCGAGGGACGGCAGGAGCATAACGAGGGCGAGCTAACAAATCGGCCTGGCGTTGGCACCGCGGCGTCGAGCGGGAGAGCAATCCAAAGTAACGCGAGTTACCACCAACACACGGTCGCGCGCACGCCGCTGGATCGCCCACACAACTTCGGGTCTCCTTCGTTTCTGGTGCACCATTGGGTTTATCGTCGCGTCGATGGTCTTTCCAGTGGTTTATTTTTTTGTTTGACTTTTTTTTTTTTTTCATTGTTTTCGACACGGCATGGCAGATGTATGCGTTTTTGGTTTCGTGGAGAAGAGAGTGTTTTAGTGTAGTACAGAGATCGAAGGTGACGTGGTTTTTGTGAGTTTTCTGGTTGAAAGTTTTTCCATCGATACGGTACAAGACAAATGACGGAGTAGGTCATCACTCGGCAGATACGTGTACGTAAGTAGTTCAGGTTAATACGATACGATCTTTTTTGCTTGGAAGAAAATTTTTACTTGCGTTTGTTTTGCAAAAGAAATCTTTTTTTATTAAAACAAAATGATCCTCGCGATATTTATTTGTTCAATAATTCATAAAACATGAGGAAGTATAAAGTGCATCCGATCAAGTGTATTCTTTTTTTTTAATTCATACAGTAAGATTTTATTTCTTAGAGCGCAAATTTTGTTTGCTTCCTAAAAATGAGCAAATTTGGATTTTGTTGATATAAACGATGCTGTTTCTACATAAAGTTACATTTGATAGCCAAGTTTGCAAACAAATGCACTTTTGTTTTAAATTAATAATTGATAAAGATTTTTTTCGCGCAATCAACAAACAAAACTGTAAGGTACAGCTGAAGTCGATAGTTCTTCACTTAGCCCCGAAATTGATTAGAGCTTAATATGGTTTTTGCTCGACCGACCAACTTTTCGTACAATCCAATGCAAAAAGGGTGTCATATGGATATATTCCAATCCTATTGATAAGTACCCCATCGGGGCGAATAAAAGCGACGTATGAAAACAAATAATAACAAAAACAAAAAATAATCCATCAATCACTCATCACTGAGCAACCGATGGTGTTCCTCATTGAAAACGTCAAAAAGCCGGTCGCAACGAGCCAGGAAGACGAACAATACCCGCACCGACGAAATAAAACCACCACCGGTGCGTTATTGTCATCCATTACGGATCGATCGCTTCTTTCTCCCCGCAGCTAGTGCGTATACACATCGGCAGTCAGGTCGCGTACGAGGCGGCAATGACGCGCCAGCTCACACGAGAGCATACGCCTCTCCTAAGCGAGAGGAGCGCACGCGACGTTTTTAGCCGCGAGACCGATATCCATCCGCGGCGTGACTCATCCCCTGCAACGCGCGGAACTCAATTAACCGCGTTATATTCCCGACGCAAGCGTCGATTGTTGTTCCCCGAAGCGAGAGACATCGTTTTGTCTCGTGGCTTTTTTTTTTTTTTTTTTTTTTTTTTCTTTTTTTTCCTTCTCTTGCCTTGGGATCGCGGGCCCTCTTTTCGTGGCGCCGCGCTTTCCCGTCCGATCGCATTAATTTTGCGGTCGGCATTGCCCACTCGACAGCTGGCCGGTCGGCGCCTTTTTTCCCTCCTCCCGAGAGCTGATGCGCGGCTTTTTCTTATTCTTCTCTTCTCGGGACGGCCGAGAGCCACTTTTGTCATTGACGAGCTGCTGACTTGATTTACCGCCGATTTTCAAGAGGGAACTCGATACCCTCGCGTGCGGGTGATGTGGACTGCGAAACATTTTTTTACCTCGAGTACGAGTAACGTGCAAACATTTTACAACAAATTTGCAAACACTTTTTTTTCATTCTTCCCTCCAGTGCACAGTTACACATTTATCGTCGTAATTAAATCTGCACGTCTCATTAGTCTCTCGAGTAATCGACGCACGTCGAGAAATTTATCTTTTGTTAAAATAACCTTTGAGCTGTTGATTTGTGTTGCTCTTGAATCGGTCTATTTACCAACAATATCTCAATGTAATGCTTTTGACGAGACAGAAAAATTGTACGTCTTTGCTCACCAGCTATCAACTCTGCCTTAATGTCGTTTATTACCGAGATATTTATGCGTTACTGCAAACACGTTGGAGTAATCGATATTTTTATATTTTTGGTAAATAACAAAAAATAATCGCAGCAACGGCGTCTCTATGCTTTTCGTAAAGATCGAGGAGGAACCCGCACGAGCGAACAAAAAATCGGCAAATAAGTTGGTCGGCTTCACGGTACACTTTCGCTCCCTACATGGGACGCCGCGCGATCAGCGGTTACAAGGCATCGCTGTTAAAATCCTCCCAACATTAGGATTATTGTTTCTTTATCTTGGATCCGCATCCTTTTTTTGGGCGAGCGAATGGTTGTTATCGTGGCATTCGCATATGGTCAATGGAGAATTCATTTGTCGGTCTAATGAGGAATTGAGAAAAAGAATGATGTTGGCCACTGATGTTCTTCCACGAATGGGAACTGGGAAGCCTTTTTTTTGGCATCATACCTCTCGTTTATTTTTTTTTTATCAATCATGCATTTTTTTAATCCGCAGGATTAAATTTTTTTTTTTTTAATTCATAGTCATCATATACATCGATGATCTAAAAATAACGTGTTAAAAGAAGTACAGTATTGTTCTTCTCTTTCAAGTATAAATCGATGAATCGAAAGTTATAATTGAAATTTTTAATTTCCAACTTTTTGCAAATAGATAACAAAACAAAATTATGGCACTTACATCAGTTACGTGTAATAGAAACTAATGAGTCGGAAATTACAGTCGATCGATATTTTTACGCAGAGTAGTGTTGGAGCAGTAAATAATGGCTCTGTTTTTTTTTTTTTAATTGGAACAAATTTTAATAAATGCACGAGATATATCACCAAGAGTGTTATAGTAGCAAACAAGACTTTACTTCGAAACATACTGACATTTTGATGAACAGTCCAATGTGCTCGAATGTTTTTTTGTCAGCTTGTCTCGATGTCCATCAAACATCGAAGATGTATGGCTGGCCAATTTGTCTGAAATCGTGTCGCTGTGACACTCAATCTTATTGGTTCGTCAAAGATTTTTTACCATGAAAATGTACACGGTATTAAAAAAGTTGAAATTTTCACCAGGAAGTGAATTTTTTTTTTAATTTTAACTACACCTCGCAACAGTCGATACGCATGTGTAGAGAAAAACACTATGGCAAACATTGCTCTTAAAGTACATTTTTACTTTAAAAAAACATTAGATTTCGATCTTAGTCACGATGAATGAATATCATTCATAACCATTACGTATCAGTTTCACTTAGATAGTATATTCATAATTGTCTATAATCAGCCACATCATAAATACGAGGTCTCACTTTTTTCAATTATGAAAAGATTTAATATTGATTAGAAATCACCGAGGGGCTGCCCACTCTGAAGTCTTTTGGAAATTTCTGAAGTCTTTGAAAGACTTAGAATGACTTATCAAGTCTTTTTTAATGACTTATTGAAGTCTTTTTTGATGAATTTAAGCTAATGCACTCCTGAAATCCTGGTAAAAAGTCTGAAGTCTTTTGGAGACTTCTGAAGTCTTTGAAAGATTTAGAATGACTTATGAAGTATTTTTTAATGACTTCAAGAGTGCGCAGCCCCTCGGAAATCACCAGAAGTAAACACCAGAATTACCTAATGCACGAATCAAAAAAAGGAAACTATAACGTGTCTTTTTCCAACTATCGAAGATAATATTTATTACCAAATGATAAAACTCTTAATTAAAAAACCATCGGTCTAGTTAGTCTATCCCAATTGAATCTAATTACAATGAAATTGATTGTTCCACTTTACGTAGTCCAAATAAAACACTGATACATCTAATTAGCATTTTCGAGAAATGAATTGATCCGTGGGTGTGCCAATACCAATACGTGTTTGCATCTTATAATTTGCAGCCAGACTATTATCGCGACGCACCGCACTTCCGGCGCGTTGGGGACGGTCCACAGTACAGCTTGGAAATTCCCCATGCCAAGCTCGACTACACGGGCGCGTATTCAGTGGTGGCCAGAAACGAACATGGCGAGGCGAAGGCCGTGATATCTTTGCAGATTTATGCCAAAGGTACGTATACATGTTTATTATATACGAAACGTGTGTGCGTGTGTTGCAGGTTGTGGGTATATACGCGAAAATATGTTGTTTAACTGCACAGTTCAATAGAAAGCGTTGCTATGATTATTTTTTTTTTTCATTTAAAATACAAAAAAAAAGCTCGTGATTTATATTGTTGTAATCATTCTAACAATTTAGCAACTTAGTAAAGATAAAAAATAGCTATTTTGGAAATAAGGGCGCAAAAGCAACTCTTTTGCTTACCCTCGCATTGAACATGATACTTTTTTATACTGTAATAAGAACCTTTTTTCATATTTGGTGGGCGTTGTTCAACTTCTTATAGCCATTGAAAGTTATTTTTTGACATTTAGTACGTGAACATTAAAGAAGTGCTTTTTCCTAGTGCCTATGTGATTTCGGAATTGATCTCAAAGCGAATAAAAAATCGATGTGTGAAATGGACACTTTGCACATAGGGCATACTCTGAACAGGCGTGAGAAGTTGAACTTCGCACACTGCGTATATATATATATATAAAAGGAAAACTAACACTGGTCGCAAAAATTCAACTTTTAATAATACTAATGCATGCAATAAAATCCTATTTATGTAAAAATCTATGTTTGTCTAGATTGTTTTTCGTTCATAGTAAACTTTGTTACAACTATAGACTGGTGTAACAATTACGTACTTACAATCGTACTGTACATAGGTGCTCGTACTTGCTTTTTCTTGAACAGTTAATGTTTCAATACCATTTTTGTACTACCAAAGAATTAAGGAGAATTTTAAATACTTGATAATAACATTTGGTACAGGTTTAGGAAAGGGCGACAGCATGGATCAAAGCAGTATCAAACAGAGGTACATTTCGATAACTTTCAAGTAAAACCACTATTTGACTTTTACGCTTTAATTGTTTCTCGTACTTTTTGTTGTCCAGTAATGTGCTCAGTGTCCCAGTTATCACAAAAGAGTTGAAAGACATGCGCTGCTGCGACGGAGATGCCGTGACTCTCGAGTGCAAAGTGTACGCGCCTTCGGAGACTCCAAACATTCGATGGGAAAAATCTGGAAAGGTACTTATACGTAAAGAAAAACACGATTTAACGCCATTCAATTTGATATTCTCGACAGCCTTTGGTTCTGAGTGGTGATTTCTCAGCCGAATTCAACGGCGAAACTGCCAAACTTGCCATTCGTCACGTTTATCCCGAAGACGAGGGCGAGTACACGTGCGTCGCCCTCAACGAGCTGGGAAAAGCTTTCACTTCTGCCTGCCTGGTCGTCGATGGTAAGTCCGAATCGACAGGATTTCACAACGAAACAACGACGCGTACCATATCTCTGATTTTAATTCTGCACGAAAACAATGCTCTTTTCGAAACATCAATGAGCAGCAGTGGCATCAAAGGCATGTATATATACACGTGAAGCCAAACGTGACGGAAATCCCGAAATCGTTTCGCGATAGCGTCAGCTATTGTACGGCGGGGAGACATTGGGATGGGCTCTGTTGCATCGTGATTCAGACCCACTTTCGCTCGTTCGTTTACACGAGGATACTTCTCTTGCGCGTTGAATTTTTATCGCTTTCGATGCTGTGAGTGATTCAAATATTTTTTCCCCACGTTCATATAATATATGTTTGATGATTAATCGATGCGATTCTACAACTTGGAATTACTTTTATTTTTGGCAGAACGTAAATACAACGCCGTGTTAGATAACTGTTTCGGACATAAATAGCATTAGTATCACGATATATTACACCAATTATCATCCCCGGTTTTTTTTTCATGTCACCGAGGGGCTGCGTACTCTTAAAGTCATTAAAAAAGACTTCATAAGTCATTCTAAGTCTTTCAAAGAATCAGAAGTCTCCAAAAGACTTTAGAGTGCGCAGCCCCTCGCATGTCACACAATAAAAAATGTCGCAGTCGCGTTATCGTCTCTCGTGAAAACCGAGCCTTGCGTTTAGTTTATACATAAATTAAATTTTTTTTACATTACAGTGCCAGAAGGCAAAGAAAACGTCCTCAGCCAGCCGCGTCTCACTAGACCACAAGGCCTTCTGTCAGCGAATTCAACCCCAAGATCAACACCGAGATCGACGCCTGTTAGAAGTTTATCTCCCGGAGTGACCCGTGAGTATAGCGATAAGATTAAAGCTTACCGATATATACCAATTAAACTCGCACGTGCTAGATAATCTGCAAACTTAACGAAATATATGTGGTAAAAAAAAAAAAAAAGAAAAAAGAAAAAGAAAAGTGGCTCGAGATAAACACGTTGTATCCTGTGATTATCACGGTTTATCGAGTATATGAAATATGAAAGAAATTAAAAATAGAGTGACACGCGTGAGTGGATAAACAAGGGGCGTTATAAATAGAGGCGTATCGTAATTCATCGTACCGAAAATACTACGGGTGCTTACGTTGTTTCAGGTGGTCGGGAATTGAAAGCGCTGAATCTACCTCGTCGGATCGAGTCGCCGGGTAGCCTGCGCTACAGGAAACCAAAATTCTGTCCGCCCAAATTCTACACGATACCGCACAACCGCGTGGCAGAGGAGGGCGAGACGATAAGGTTCCAGTGCTCCGTGACTGGCCATCCGATCCCGTGGTGCTCGTGGGACAAGGATGGCGAGCCCGTGACGCCGAGCGCCAGGATCAGTATTAAGGAGAAGGACGATATCAAGACCCTGGAAATCGCGGAGGTGACGCTCGAGGACGCGGGACTGTACAGGGTCACTTTGGAGAACGACGTGGGGAGGACCGAGGCTTCGGCTCGATTAGAAGTTATCAGTAAGTTCATGATTGTTTTTTATTTTTCGTACTATGGAGATTGTGAGGTGGAATTGCGGGAAACAATTGATTAGTTTTGCAAATTTTTCAATTTTTTGTCGTACTTCATGACTGTACAATTATTGTGCATGGAGTGTGAAAAAGAAAAAAAATTTTCGCAAAATAACTGTAGATTAATTGTTTAAGGATGTTTCATTGAAAATCTGGGAAAGAGTTTTTTTTGTACTCGAAACGATCATTAATGTTTAACATTTTTTTCATGTGTAGCTCTTCTCCGATTTCCAAGTATCGAAAGACTGTACCGTCATTGACTGGCTGCCAGTACAGAGGTATCAGTTCTGAAGTTGTAGGTGTTGGCATTCTGCAACGAAAAAAAAAAAAAAAAAAATTATTGAACTTAAAATAATAAGTAAACTAAAGTATTATTTGTCCTATGTTTAATTAAAAAGTACCCAGTTCTGGCGAAATTCGTCCACAATTCGACCAATTGTTCCATTTTTCTATAATCTGCTGATCCCTTCTTTGGCGTTTCGATATTAAATGATTCCAAAATTTTCATGCTGAATAGGTATGGTAACTCATCCATGTGCGAAGCTCCTAAAAATACGTAAGTTACAAAATTTGTGGTTCAACGTTAGTTTTGCGAAATCAAGGCTAGTTCATCCCGCTCGAATTGAGATACCACTCACCTGAAAGCGTACTTTTGAATAGCGTTTTCGTCAAGTCGTATCCTTTGTCATAAGTAAATTCATACATGTAAGTTGGACCAGAGTTTTTTTCCACTTGAATTTTAACAATATCGTGTATTCCGCAAACAAAAGCCACGTCACCTATCAGGTCCGACAGACCTTCAATATCTTCAGTTATGTTACCATTGGTGCAATACATGTTCTTGAGATCTTGTAATGTAATTTTATTTTGCTCAAAACGTTGTATACTTTCAGGAGTTAAGACAAAGCTCAAAAACTCGTCATTCATGGTGGAAAAATTACTTCGCAAACCTACGACTGATGTATTATATTTAGTCTGTGGCTCATTTAGAGCTTAAACTACAAGTAAATTATCATACATTTCAATAGCATTGTCCCTTCGCGATTGTTGTGGCCTATCATGTACGGTACGTTGGCGCCTTTCTTGACAGCTATTTCCTTGGAGAGAGGCATGAAAGGTTCTTTGGATTTTGCGTCAATGTCTGGGTTGAAAACGAAGTAACAGAGTCCCTTTGACAATTTTTATGAAGTTAGATAAGTTAGAGTGTAATGAACAAAAGAAAAAAAAGAAAAAATTAAAAGTTGGTACATTATTTAGAAACAGAGAATAATTTCAATTACCTCCTTTTTCTTAAAATGTTCTTGTGCTTTGATTAACTCCAGATCGTTCACTGTTTGTAAGAATTCAACTATTTCTTCAGGATCGGTAATACTTTTCCCCAAGTATTTACAAATTTCAGTAGCTGCCCAGACTTTCTCCTTCAAACAATTACCCCATGGACATGTGGAAACTCCACTATGAGAAATAGCTTTGTGAAACAAACCTGAATGTGACGACAAAAGTAAATCTTAATATCCTTCTGATCCAAAAATAAACTTCATTTTTGTTATGTTTTTTCTGTACCTTTTGCTAAAGGAGATAATGTTAAATAATGCACGGATGCGCCTCCTGCACTTTCACCGAAAATCGTCACATTGTTCGGGTCACCACCAAAGTTCACAATATTTTCTTGCACCCACTGTAAAGCAAACACTTGATCTTTTAAGCCTTGATTTCCCGTAGCCACCTCGTGATCAAGATTCAAAAACCCTAAATATTCAAGTGGTTAAAAAAAGTAAATGATAAACATTAAAAAGCAAGTGATTTGCATGTATTCACCTAATATTCCCAATCTATAGTTAAAAGACACGAGAACCACGTCTTTCTTCATCAAAAAATCAGCACCATATAAATCGTCATGCGCCGATCCGAACTGAAATCCGCCACCATGGATCCAAACCATGACAGGTAGCCGAGCGTGAGGATCAACGTCCTTTGTATACACATTCAAGTACAAACAATCGTCCGAGCCACCCATAATGTCCAAAACTGGATCGTATTGAGTGCACATGGGCCCAAAATCTATCGCGTCCTTTGTACCTGACCATGGCTCAGCTCGAACGGGGTCCTATAAATATTCTAAGGATCAAAATCTCGCGTCAAATACCAATAATGTGTTACACACCTGGCAAGTAAAAAATGTGTACATCGCGTGGGATGAGAGCGAAAAATTTCACTATCAATCCGTTGGTAGTCAAAAATAGTTTTGATTAATTCAACAAAAGTAGGGTGGATGAGTTTCGTCAATAGTTGACAATTTTTCGAATTTCAACTTCAAAAATAATGCGAACGAACTACTCAAATTAAACAATTTACTAATAAAGTTATTCAAAGTACTACGAAATTTGGAGTTGGAATCGTCTATCTGTTTTTTGTTTTTTTAATTGAGCGGGGATATTTTGATAATTTTTTATGCCAATCCCATTAGACAGAAAAACCGCAAAAAACACCAAAGTTATCGAGGTCTTATCTTACATGTATAATGAATGAATAAATAAAAAAAATATTTAAGAAAACATCTATATTTAATATTACTTGCTTATTAAAAGATCGCTGATTCTTGCTCTCAACTTTGTTAATAAAGTTTGAAAAAAAAGTTTTTTCTCCGGACAAGACAATACAGGCGATCTGGAACGTTGTTTATTTTTGCCTTTTAGGTTTGTAATACACCATTAATAAGTAGGAATTCGTACGAATTAACATGATAATAAAAAGTGCAAATAATAAAATGAAAGTACAATTCATGATACTATTATACTTAAAAAAAACATTTTTTTAAATGTCGTTGGTCGTTTTATTTTTTTCTTTATAAATAAAAATAACATGCAAAATTCAATTGAAAATTTTTCTGATTTTGTTTTTTAGTAGTAATTTTTTCTACGCTTGTATTTTTCTTATAAATTTTCATATNTTAAATTATTAATTTAAAGACATTGATCGAATGAAATAGTTTTAAAATTAATTTTAACATTTTTTATGATAAAAAAACAACAACAAAAACTAAATGTAGACTACGTTAAGAATGTCTTTAAATATTATATTATGCGTCTGAGCATGTAAGTTAATGTGTTCACCCTATATGCAGTGAAAACTCTGATGAACTCATTTCTTAAAGTGATAAATTCAATTTAGGGCACACTATACATTATTTCGTACATACTTTGCAATCTACTGTACTTTTCATGATAAAAAATTTTTTTTTTAATGGTTTTAAAAATAATTTAACAATTATAATAACAGTTTAAAACCTCATCTAACTCGATAAAAAATAAATGTTTATGTGACCTACGCCTTATAATTTACTCTTCATAGTCTTCTTCTCTGATAATTGTTGTTCTAGGTTAAGCATGCTAGCTATTTCTAGATTCTTGCCTATATCCATGTAGTTAAAAACTACAGTGTTATTCACACGAGGCCACTTTTTGCGCAATAAATTTGATGTTACTGGCGTCGGCTCCCTGAAAAATATATTTCGTCAACATTAATCTTGTATTTTTTCTAATGTGATGCAGTGCAAAAATGGTCAAATTTACGTGAAATATTAAACTTTTGTATTGAAAGAATTTTAAGGCACAGTTGCTACACATTTCATTATATCAAAAAGCTTAATTGTATAAATATTTAAATAAAGTTGCATTTATTAACATTAATTAATTGCATGAGGTCAATGGCATCACATGACACATAGTATAACTTAAGTTTGATTTATGTGATGCAGTTATTTTGTTTATCAATTGACTTGATATGAGGAACGAATTCATTTTTGTGGGTGTACATTTTGCATGTTTCACAAAAGGTTGTGTTTTTATAAGAACTACAGTTTACTAAGTACACTGGAAAAAACTGGTTCTCACGTTTTTTTGAAATTTTTATTTAAAACCTTTAAGAAAAAAATTTTTAACAAATACCCAAATAGAAGACAAGAAGTGGGTACCTTATTTTTGGTGCCTAAACCAGTTATTTTAATTTTGGATGTATCTACTAACTAGACCGTTATATATACATATATGGCCCATGTCTACTTTTTACCGTTTATTCGGACGTAGTCCGTTTTGGCTTTATTCTGACTATTAGCTTCTTGCTTTCACAAATAAGGCAATCAAGCCGTATTTTCACTCAAAAGATACCCATAGTTTTTCTTCAGAAAATATCTTGAAATACAGTTTTTATCAGATATCTTGCTGAAATGTTTAAGGTCACATTTGTTATAGTTATCTAAAATTATAAATGTGTATAACCTTCTTGAACTTATTAACCATAAAAAAAAATTTTTTGGAGCACTTGAAATGATACTTATGTGTATATACTAACACCTCTTTCTTTTTTCGCCTTCTCTTCTTCTTTCTCTCACGCACAGATTCGCATAAAGACTCGCAACATAATTTTCTTAATTTAAAACTGTATTAAAATTGACTGCTGTGTAGCAGCCATGGTTTTGAAAATATACGTATAAATTTTCTGTCTAAAATTTGTGTATACATGGTGACCAATATTGTTATAAAAATTCAACAATCATATTAAACGTATTTACTAAATAAAAATATAACTTTTTAATAATTTGCAGTGTCGAAAAAAAACAAGTAAAGCTTTTGATAAGTAAAATTGTCTAAGATTAAACAAAAATATTTATATTGTTGACTAGTATTTTTGTAATTGGTGTAGCACGTTAACTCTATACAACTTATGTCTATCTCGGTATAATAAATGTATCATAAATACTTGAAACTTATTTAAAAAATGATTATTTATTATAAATTTTATTCAGAAGTAATAAGAATCATTAAAAAACTGTGAAATGAATGTACCGTAATTATATTAATTGCAATTAAAGCTCAGAAAATGGCAATGATTATTGATCATACGAACCATTTAAAAATAATAATTGCAAACAAGAGATCCATTCTTGAGAGGTATTCGCGTGAATTGTTACTCACCTTAAATCTCAATGAACCCGTGGATTTCTGGGCGTATGGTATCCCTTTAAACGCAAAATAGTCGACGTTTTCAATATTCTTCTGCACTAGACCACGTAGTCTACCGTACTCCGTATCAACTTCGGGCCTCTTCATAATTTTTGATTCGAACTGGTGAAAGGCTTCGCGTCAACTGCGATCCAGCGGTACTGGCGCGTGGCAGATTATAAACCATGGCTGCGTACTGACCTTGAGCGTTGATTCTAATTATTATCGAATCGTAACGCTTTGAATTTCAGATAGCATTTTTTATTGACACTGTTATTTAAAGTTAATTGGTGTTATTGCGTCGATTACTTGCTAAGTATTGGTCAACTCGATTGTTTGCACCAGTGTAAATATTGTGGATAATTTAAGTTTTGCGGTAAAGCCAGATTTATGATTAAAGAGTAATTTCAGTGTTTTCATAACTTAATAACTTTGGAAAAAAAACGAATGAATTTTTTGATACTATAAAAAGAAAGGTGTCATTCACTCCTGTTTCATTTTTAATTCTACCTCTTCTCATAATGTTTTTGAATAGAGTAGACTATTTACGTATTTTTGACGAGTACAAACAAATAAACACATAATTTTTATACTTCACATAGTTGTGTAAGTCAAACATTTTGTGTAAAAAAATGCTAGTTTCCTGCAGTTGAGCCTCTAATTAAATTCAACCTATTATATAGAAACAAAAAGTGGTAATTCTACAATATGAAACTGGTTTCATTTCTTTTATTGTTGAATCGAACCACTGTCTTTTTTTTTAGTATCAATTAAGTATTATTTGATTTTTTTTTATCATCATTCGAATTTAAATTAACGTTTACATCCTATTTTCGTATATAGTACTAGATTTCTAATACTTTTTGAAGATTAGAAAACCGAGGATAAGTTAGGGCTAAGATAAACAACATCGGCAAGAAATAAATTTTGTATTTATATAGT